GGGACCTTTGGTTTATTTACCACGCTCCAACTTAACTGAGCCACATTGGCCAAGGGCCCTTAAGCCTCCTTTTACTGTCATATTTCAAATGGAAATAGTTATACTTGATGCATAAATTGAATGAGATAATGTGCTTAGTGCATGAGGTACAGCTCCTGGCATCAAACAGGTGTTCAATAAATAAGTAGTGGCCATTACGGATTTTGTAACTACAAGAAGACAGCCCTGTAAACTGATGATTTTATTGCTTTAGGGGCTATTCAGGATCTCTCCGTGATCTCTCAGCTCTTCTGCAATTAATGTTAAGTTGATCTTTGACTACAAAGAACAGCTTTATGACTATTATTTTAGACTACTTCTTTTATTTTCTGGAAAAATGAGGCATACTGTCAACATTCACATTTATTAAGACCTTCAATAAAATTATTATATAATTTGTTTAATTTTTCTTTTCTTGGCTAAATAATTAGGGTAGTTGAATATTTCCTATTAGCTCTGCATGAGGGAAGCCCAGGGAATCATGGGACATGTTAATAATCTAACTGATAGTATTTAAACATGGGAAAATACCACATGGCCCTGCTAGTATCCATTTTAGGGACAAATATTACCAGGGAAGAAACAATAGCTTCTGTTCTTTACTAATATTACCATTCTATTAAATACTGGATTTCTCCTTTTTTATAACTCAGAGCTGAAAACCTGTCTTTTGAATAAGTGTCTACAAGAGTCAATGATGTTAAAGTTTCATCAGTCACCTACCTTCCTAACTTAAAAATAATTTGTTAGATATTAATTAGGCTTCCAGACATCTTTGCCCTGGGAAAATCAGTTTTATCAGCTCAGACAAATAGGGTGTGTTTTAGTATAAGCCTCTGGACTGAATGCAAATAGTGAGTCCTTCCTGCTCCGGGAAAATCCCTCAAAGCACATAAAAACTGAGTCATGGTTGCATGACTCCTGTAAGCACTGACTGTGAGACATTCAGAGAATATTTTTCAAAGGTGAAAATCCCAGGGTGAGACTTGACTCACATAGTAGAGCTCCTACATTGCAGCCTTGGAGAGTCCCAATCGATTTCAAATAGTCCCAATCGATTTCTGTATTATTTAAATTCCTCATTTTGTGCAATAGATACGGTTTTGAACAGAGGCATGTAAATCTAAAATTAGCAAATTAAATTACTTTTTAATGCATTGGTTTTGCCATTTCAAGGGCTTGTATATGGACTATTTTAAAAAGTAAATACACCTAAAATAATCTATTTCACAAATCCTTCTTATGTTCGATACATTTTTTAAAAAATTATGTCTAATCTAAAGCTACAAATAATTACTAGAATTTCTGAAAGGACAAGAAAACAAGTTCTTTCTGTTGAAACAAGTAATAATGATGGCTAACATTGGATAATGCGAGAAAGTGTACAGATTGTTGTGTATTTCTTCACTTGACTTTCTTGTCTACTCTGTAAAAGAAGTAGAAGAGGAAGTTTCTTTATCCCTCTCCTACGGGTAAAGAAACAGAGATGTCCCGGACTATCAAGCACTTGGGCTATCTATCACACCTCACTCAGGTAGGAAGTGGTAGACTGTGGTCTCAGAGAAAGCACTTCCTTTTTTGAATACTATGCAATTTCTCAACTCAACATACTGATGACATTGCAAATGATAACAGTATCAAAGCTCTTTGAAAACATAGCCCGTTCATCTTTTTACCATTCTTAAAAAGGAGGCATGCGTTCATGGGTGAATCAACTTAAATTTGGGAACATGGTCCTAGATATCACAACTTTCTTACTATGTGGAAATTCGAGTAAGCATATCTATGGTAAAAACCACACATACACACACACATACATACATACATATTACTCATTAAAGAAAAAATTACAATAAATAACCAACTAATCATCACCATCTCAAGTCATTTGCCAAACAGCTGTCATGTGCCAGATGGCACACATTATGAAGCATCTGCGTCTAAGCCAGTGCCATAGATTGATTATTTCTTAACAAGAATACTAACGAAGCTTACTGAATTTGCTGTTGGTATTGTACAGTGTCACATTTTTTTCCAAAATCAAAGGATAAGAAAGGATGTTACCTCTGAGGTTCTTTACATGGAATCCAATTTACTTCCGGGTGTGGGATGTCTTCCAGATAGGGGTAGATGGTCTCCCTCGTGAAGACCCAGCCATAAACTCCGTCTTCTGGGGTCACAATAATATGTGCACCCTGCCCAAAGAGGTGGGAACAGAGAAGTTTCTCATCAATTCTAAACACTGACGCGTTATCAAGTTTGGAATTTCCTTTACGGCATCCCAGCCAATAAAAAAAGGGCAATCAATACCTGCCTGGCTGCCAGTTTCACTGCTTTCTCCAAAACATCCATATTCTTGTTCATCAGGAGCAAAGCTTCTTCTTTGGAAACAGGTGTTTCTGTTTTATTTGGTAATATAACAGCATGTTCATACACTGCAGCAATGAAAGTGTCTGTTGCACTAACACTCAGGACAAACGCGGCAAAAATTGCCACAAATTTTAGAAAATATGATGTAATCATAGCTACAATTTAGTATTCTTTGATAAACTCACGTTCTTATATTTTCTGTCACTGGAAAACTTTTGGTTAAAGCCCTGCCTGCTCTGAGCTATTTATATTTTCTCATAAATACTTTATGCAATTGCACAGAACACATTGCACAGCATTGAGAAAGGATGTTGCACAAGAAAGCTGACAGCCAGGATTACATCACTGGATTCACGTAAGAGTACAGTGCTGTTGTTGACACTGTTCCAAGGGGTGCCCAGCTCTAAAGGAGGAACTAATGAGCTGACTGCATGAGTCTACCCCAGGCTAAACTTCTTTTCTTTTAATAAAATACATTTTCCTGGTAGGTCATTGTTTCCCATAATAAGGCCAATACTGGACCATTGTAGAAGGCCAGCATCATAACAATTATGTTGCAAATTTATGTATATAAATGTGATAGACACTGAACAGACTGCAAGGCAAAGCCCCAGGTTAACAGAGCTCACAATATAACAAGGAAGAATGTAATAGAGAATAAAAACTTTATACTACTCTGACTTACCATGAAGTAGAATTAAATGTACTAACAAACATAAAAAGGACTCACATGCTGACAGTTTCCTCATAAGTATGTTGCAGGCATCGGAAGTTCCAGTTCTTGCTTACACCAGAAACATCCTTGACCATGACTTTGGTTGATGCACATTGCCCAACTGCAGCAATTGGGCTGCCGCTGACCAGTTCCAGGATGCTGGTATATGGGGACCAGCAAGGGTACTGCCTGTGTCAGAAACATTTTTTGTAATAAGTTTTTAGCCCTGGCTTGCTTGGAACCATCCTGCCTGGTTTCAGGAGCTGTAACCAGGTGAAAAGGCCCCATGGCTAGGGGACCTTGGGACCGTAAGCCACCAAGGAAACAAAACTTATCCTCCTGGCAGGGATGCAGCCTCTACCCCCTTTACTTCACCCTGCTTGGCCCCTGAAGGATGGCTGGATAGTCAATGACAGGTAAGATTCTTCAAGAAAGGAAGAACTGAAGACAGGCACAGTCACCAAGGAGCCATCAGGGAAGGATTTAGGGGATTGTGGAGGAGGGACAAAAACCCCTCACCCCTCTGCTCTGTTATAGCCTGAGTCCTCATTTTATCTGTACAAAGTCTCCTAATCTCTTGGCTGTCTTGCTTCCCCCGCCTGATTCAGGCCTGAAACAATGCTGAAGCAGGGCACGGCCCTGTGCCAGAACCCACGGTTCCCAGCGGAGGGTGATCAGGCCTAAGAAAGAACGGATGAAGTCCTGTGAAACCTGATTTGCTTAGAATGTCCTCAATTTAAATGCTAAGGGTCCAAGCACAAAATAAGTTTGTTTCTCCTGGTTTTACAGCCGATTGGCAACACCCCATCTACCAGACCCTGACCCAAAGGACCCACATCATCCCAGAAATGTTATCTGTAAACCATGCCTCCTTCCTTTGTTATGCACCTGTATGCAAGCTAAACTCAATAAAAGCCCATTGAGAGAGAGGCTAAAGACCTTTCTCCTCTGAAAGACTGGTCAGCCTTTCCTCCCAAAGCAGATCATGTCTTGGTAGACTTATTCTCATCCAACAGCAGCTGGGGGGGGCTCTGTGGGTGGAGCCTCCCCACACTAGCTGGAGTAGCTCAGGGGATTGAGCACAGGCCTGCAAACCAAAGGGTCATTGGTTTGATTCCCAGTCAAGGCACATGCCTGGATTTCAGGCCAGGTCCCCAGTAGGGGGTCTGTGAGAGCTAATAACGCATTGATGTTTCTCATCCTCTTTTTCTCCCTCCCTTCCTCTCTCTATATAAATAAAGAACATCTGTTTTAAAAAGTAAATAAATTTTTAAATAACTCGCAATGTGCATTTGTTTCATAAGAAGACTCCATAAGGCTGTGCTATTTCTAAGGCCCAGGCAAGCTCTTTCTTGAGTCCAATGGGGCTTCCCTCCTCTCTTTTTCTTGCACATCACATTGTCTTCTATGGAGTAACTGCCACCCACTATTTTTTAGGTTACTGTACCCAAGACTAGTACAGGCCTATACCCAAAGTACAGGCCTTTGCATTTAAAAGTATTATGTAACTCACTATGCAGAATTAGAGCAGGATAACAAAAACAAGGAAGTGCATTTGTCCAAATGATGGTAATCCAACTCAAAACACTTTGACCAAAAAAAGAAAAGAAACTCCTTGGCCAACATAACTGGACATTCTAGTGAAATACTGGTTAGGTAAAAATCTGAATTCAGGTACTTGACTTATGTCTTCACAGTTCTCTGGCTCAGCTCTTCTTGGTCTTCATCCTTAGAAACACTCTCTTCAGTTTGCAGTTGTCATGAGCATATGTTCACATTATAGTCTTTCCTATAAGTCAGCTGGGCAACTGCTCAGCTAGCTGCCTGCTGAGAAGCCTGGTACCCAGAAATAGACAAGAGTCGCACACCGAAACTATCCTCTTCATCCAGATTTTATTGAATGCAGGTTCACTCAAAGTAGAACATCAACATACATTAATATCTTACTCACATTCTAACAATCTAAGACGAATATAAAACACACATAACACAGCAATGAGTGGGGATATAACGAACCCAAGCCCTAGACTCTCGGTCTGCAGGTCCGGGAGGCAACACAGTGGACAAGGGAGTCATCAGTGTCTTGCAAGGAAGGATCTCCAGAGGCAGGAGGGCAGCAGGGAAGACGAAGTCCTCAGTCCAGCAGGGCAGAGCCTGCAGGAGCCAATGCCAAGGAAGATCAACGTGGTGTGGAGCAGCACTCTGGTGTGTGGAGCTCGGCTGCCTCAGCAGTGGTCTGGAGCCTGCCTGAGGTATACCTTGAAAGTGGTGTACTCCACCCTTCTGGTTTTCTTGATACGTATCTTAGAACCCAGGATGGCAAGTGAGAAATTTTCTCAGGAGCCTGTCTGCAAGTGGTACATGGCTACTCTACTTGGCACCGTGGGCAATTGAGGAACTTCCCCAGGGGCCTGTCTATGGGTGGTCCCACTCTGCAGGCATGGCTGTTCTGATCACGTGTGCAGATATAGTAGGTGTGTCTCCTTGCCAGATGTGTCTGCTCTGACTTAGGTAGTTTCCCTCTTGAGCCAAAGTGTCCTGACTGGTAGCCATCTTGGTTGACATGAGGTACTCCATTTTATTTTATATACTTTATGCTATTTTGACAAGGCCAATGCCATGTTATTGATCCTGCTCTCCACATTAGTGAAGATAGCTTCTGGGAGCTCCATATTTATATGGTTCTTGTGTCTTTGATGGCAGAAGAGAGAACTTCTTTTTTAATTTTTTAATTATCAAAAGTTCTGGGGACAATTCTCACCAATGTGGCTTCAAACATGTACTCAGCACTGCATAAATCTCTGGCCTTGCAGGTCTAGTGAATGACTGGTAAAGCTTGGACACACTCTGGAGCTATAATGAATGATCTCCAACCCCAAATACATGGAGGAGTTCCCTTTAATAAAGAGGGGAAAAGGGAGCCCTGGTTGGTGTGGCTCAGTGGATTGAGTACTGGCCTGCAAACCAAAGGGTCACTGGTTTGATTCCCAGTCAGGGCACATGCCTAGGTTGCAGGCCAGGTCCCCATTATGGGGAGCAGGAAAGGCATCTCCACTTTGATGTTTCTCTCTCTTTCTCCTTCCCTTCCCATCTCTCTAAAAGTAAACAGGTTTTTTTTTTTTTTAAAGAGGGGGAAGGGGAGGCCTGGCAGAGACCAATAACTGACATTCACCTCTGGAAACTATGAAAGTTTCTAAGAATAATTATGAGTTCCTTGATCATCTTGGCCTTTTATTCCTGAGAGAATGAAGGCCTAAACTGAAGGGTTTAGGGTCAGCTGCTGATTTCCAGTTTAACTTTTTGAGGTGAAATGTCACTGTCCAAGTGTCACAATACACACAGCAATGCCATTGCATAATGTCCAACTTTAGACATTAAATAGACCTTGCAAATCTGAAAATCTCCATGTCTGATGCAAAGATACAAGAGCACAACTGTGATGGTTGTGTGATTTGGACTATGTATAAACATGTACATTCACTGCCACTTCAAAATGACCACCTCTGATGCCCCCATGTTGAACACAAGCAGCACAGAAAACCCTCTTCAAAATTAAAAACAAAAATGTGGCTTAACTTCTATTTCCTTTCTTAATATTAACCACTTCGTTATAAAAATACTCCTCATTTCCTACTGCACAGTAATAGAAGAGACAAATTGAATCTACAAGGAGTAATATACAACAACATAAAAAACAAAACATAAATGTCTCAAAGGTGATATTTCAATATGAAAACACTAGACAAAATAATTTTGAAGATATTAAATCTGAAAAAATCTGAACATTTATTTCTTTAATTTTAAGAATATTTGCATTAAATGATCAGTAACAAATACATCGTATTTCAAGTAGAATGAGATATATACATGTTGAGAAGTGCAGGCTACCCACCATTGAAAACAGTGTCGCTAATCACAGTCATGGTCTTTGTGTTGTGGAATTTGGGCCCATTAAATTATACCACAGGTGAGGTAGTTCAGGACTATGAATGCCCCGAGTCAGGTCTCCTTTGATACAAACCAGCACTATCTGTCATCTCTTCTAGAACATCTCAGAACAACTTTCATGATGAATATAAACATTACCATCTAATTGGAAAGTGCATTTCCCTCTAATCGTGAGCACAGAAAAGCAGATTAATTTGGATCATCTTTAATGTCAAATAGAATTCAGTCACAAAAATCTCAATTTTCATCATTCCTCTTCTCTTCGAAGGCTACAGCTATGTTTAGGATGACCCTGCAGCTCTGCACTCTGCCACTCAAGGTCACAAGCACACACAAGGTCACAGAGCAAATAAAGTTAGAGCTAAGATTTGACACTCATTCATCTGACCCAAGCACTTTGGGGGCAAATTTACTGTAATAGTTCAAATTAATTCAAGATGAGAAAAATACATATTTAAAAATTATTGGTCTATGCTGCAGAGATGGCCCTTCAGAATTTCTTAGTAACTTGGAAAGATGATAAATACATTTAGCAAAATATATACTCCACAAATAAATCGTGATAAAGAGATGTCCCATACCATCACAATATTTGCAAAGTCGTGATCATAAGTAAAGTGGATATTAACAGGTTAGTAGTTTCCAAATTGCCGATCCCTCCTGAGATGGAAGGTGAGTCCTTCATGTACCACCTCCCAAACAGTGACACTGTTAGAAGAGGCTCAGATGTTCCATTCTTGTTTACCAAGCGCCCATCTTTTAGGACCTAAAGAAACAGTGGGAAAAGTATAGTCAGCTTGATTAGATGTGCATTACAAGCAGAATAATAGTTTTGAAATAATCCTAGATATCATGGTTGATTAAGTCACTCCAGTTTGATTGGGTGGGGGGAGATGGGAACAGGCAGGACAAGAAAGAGACAGCTAATTTTATTTTAAAGTTTATTTTTTATCCTCACTCAAAGACATGCTTATTGATTTTAAATATTTATTTATTTATTTGTCTTTAGAGGGGAAGGAGAGAGGGAGAGAAACATCAATGTATGGTTGCCTCTAGTGAGTCCCCTGCTGGGAACTGGCCTGCAGGGAACTTGCTTGCAACCCAGGCATGTGCCCTGACTGGGAATTGAACCGCAGTCCTCTGGTTCGCAGGCCTGTGCTCAATCCACTGAGCTACACCAGCCAGGGTACTTATTGATTTTAGATAGAGAGAGGATAAGGGAGAGATGGAGGGAAGGAAGGAGGGCAGAAGGGAAGGAGGGAAGCGGGTAGGGAGCGGGGGAGAGAGATATTAATTCTGGTATGTGCCCTTATAAGGGATTGCACAACCCTGGCTTATCAGGACGACATTCTAAACAACTGAGCTACCTAGCCAGGGCCCCAGGGACAGTGACTTCATATGTAATAAAGACTAGAGTCATTCTGGGTGACTCAATATTTGAGTTTCAACAATCAAATTGAGACAGTAGAGAGTCTTCGGCCCAGGAATAGAAAAATACTGGGTGGCCAGGAAGCCACGTTAGGACCAGGTGGCCAAAAGGAACACCCAATAAGTTGACCAGAACAATGTCATGACACTTCCACTCCCTACTCGGAAATGCGGAAGTAGCTGATTCCTCCTTCTTTCTAACTGTTTGCTTCCTTGCAGATGTTGAAACTACTGATTGACATGCACAGTTGATCAAGTTTGGCTATGGTGAGCTACATCACCCTCTTACCCCTGCAGTGAAGGTGTGAACATAGTTACCAGGCAACAGAGCTGGAAAAGCAAGTCACGACCCTGACATGGGAAATTCCACCCACCCACCTTTTTCAAAAAGCCCACCTTTTCATACAAGCTCACTTTGATCCCAGCTTATAAAAGCAGCCAAGCAGAGCCAGCCCCTGAGTAAGTTCAAAGAGTAACTTCCTTTCCTCTGTTTTGCCTCCCTTATGCTTAAGCATAAGCTTAATAAAATTTGCCTGGAAATTCTTCTGGGGTCTTGTCTCAATTTCTATCTTGGGGATCCCAAGAATCACAATGCAGTCAACAAGATGTAAGTCTTAATAAAAAGTCAAAAATCATCATCAGCAAACATTTCTTGAGTCCAATTAAATGCAAGATAATCATGAGCTAGTGGAGTAAAATCACACCCTTCCCTTAAGAAGCTTCAAAGTTGAAGAAACTGAGAAATCAGTATACTATGTATTAGAGGGGGAAACAGGAAAATTCTTAGGTGGTCAGAGAAGGAACGGCTGGACTGATCTGCTTCCCAGAGTGGGACAACCTGCCACAAGAAGGCTCAGTTAAAGGAATTTCTCCCCGAGGCTGGTAACAGAAGCCACTGTGGGAAGTGGGAATCCAGGTAGCAAAGTCTCATTCTGGGCCATAAGTGGGTGGCAGGTGTACGATGTGTTTTCTCACTCCACTTGGTTAGAACCAGTGCTGTGCTGACACTGGTGGTGTGTCTGTTCTACTCACCAAAATGGAGGGTTGAAATTCCAGCAACTTTGACAGCTGGCTATTAAACATAGTCATTCTTGATGACTATGTTTGAAATTGATTGTGGTGGGAAATGTCTGCCATGAAAATTGGCAAATGCCACAAATCAGGGCTTTTTATTTTCTTCTTCATAGACTGGGTTGTTCACATTTACAGCACACCAGTGGCTACAGCTGAAGACTGGTGAAGAGGAGAATAAGCCATGTGGTCGAAGAGAGAGGTGGGGCTCGGGCGGTAAAAGGCAGGAAAGACCAGATATATCCTGAAGGCCCAGAGGTCTTTCTCTGTATGGAAGTGATGTGTCCAAATGAATGGGGTCAGAATAAAAAGAAACACAAATAGATAGACAATAGATAGAATAAGAATAAAAGAAAATGAATCCATCAGTTGTGTTAAGGACATTTTAGATGGGGATGAACTTGGACACTGAGAAACCAGATACTCCTAACTACAAGAAAATGACTAAATGTCCTAGAAGATAACCTCTATGGTCCTCCTGTGCATACAGAGACATAGATCAGTAACAAGTGTTCAGATACACAGCCTGTGGTAACTAAGTAAACAAAATAAGATATTAAATGCTCACTGTTTACTGCTTGTTGTATTCATTGTTAACCTGTTCCTTGCTTATTAAATTGTTCATTAAAGGAACTAAGTTAAAATATCAGAATTATATTTTAAATTGTAGGTCAGTGAAAGTTTAAAACAAGTTAAATGCAGACAGTTTACGTTCTAGTGACTTTTTATAAATATGGTAAAATTTTGTCTATTTTGATCTTCCTGGGATTAATGGCTCTAGATTTGTGATCGTCTCTCAGGTTCTAGCTAGAACTTAGCGTTTTTACTGGTTTCTTGTTAGACTTTTAAAAAAATGTTATATACAATTTACTGGCCACTTAAGCAGTGTTTATAAAATATCATTTGACATTTTTGATTAATCCCTTAAGCTGGTAGTTCTTACCTATCAAAATCATCTGTGGGCCTCTGAAAAGTACAGGTCCCGTTACGAGATTCTGATTTACTGGACCCGAAAAGGAACCTGGCCCCTTATGCCTGCACATTGATCTGTACTTACATTTATGCACTGACTGTAATAGAAACGTGGCCTATTTCTGGCAAGCTTTTCCTTCCAGTTGTTAATGACCTTGGTTCACAAGGTAAACATTTAGTACTAAGTACTTAAAAATACACCCTATTTGTATAATGCTTTATTATTCACAAAGTACTTCCACATGCATTATCATATTGACCCTCATCAAATCCATGAGGAAGATACGCTGTCTTGACAGGTAGAAAATACAGGTTTACTTGTGACTTGCACGAGGATGCATCACTAGTCAGTTGTAGAGATCAAGTATCTGACAACACACCGGAGTTGCCTAAAACATCATAGCAAGATGTTTCCCACATTTGTGGTTATGGTCAGTAACCTTGGGGGTGGGAAAGACATTCGGCAAATGTGTTGAAATCTCTGCAGAAGGGATCCTATAAGATAATGTGTAAATATTTGCTGATGAAGAGTGCTAAGTCCAGAACACTGGGAAGTACTCCAGAAGACATGGCCAACATGACTCGTAAAAAACCTGTCATCTGGTCTCTCTAAAAACAATATGTTAAAAGAAGGGCCATGACCTAAAAGATTTCTAGAGAAAGAATAACCTAAAAAAATCAAGAATTGGTTTCTCTTTATCTGGCTCTTTTTGAGGAATGTAGGCACCAGATTCAACGTGATCTTAGATCACCAGCCCTACAGGGGAGAAGAACATTGCCTCAGGCTTTCCTGGTGCTATGAAATTTGTTCCATGAAGACCCAGTCCTTTTTGTTTTAATCCTGTCCTCACAAAATAAGCTTCTGATCCATAGCTTCGGAGTTGGAGAGGATTTGCCAATGGATAGCTTTCTTGACACAACAGTTACTGGTCCTCTCTGTTTTCCATCTTGTAAGTTTGGTTAGTGTTTATTCCTTAGAATGTGATGAACTTCAGGGAAAGCAACATCATAGAGCATCAACACTTGTGAACTGAAGGTCATGGAGCTTCCTTCAAGACAATGTGATACTAAAACCCCTGCCTACTAACAGGCAAGTGTATCTTTTATATCTTTTTGGTGTGACACTGTATCACATTTCATCTTTCAATGAATAAGCTGGAATAGATGAGTCAAGATCTAAATGATACATATATCATAAAGCTAATTTAAAGGGCGGGTGCAGCCACTCCCTTCCCTCCTTCCTTCCATGCGAAAATGAGGCCCAGTGCCCAGATGTGGAAGATAGAATGACAAGTTCTGAGAATTATTAAGCTGAGAACTACAAATATTATACCATCAAGCACTTAACCATTTACTCTTCTGTATCATTCTCTGTTGCTTCCAGCTACCTGAAACCATCTGGGATAAAAAAAATAAAATAAAACAAAGAAAGAAGGCAGCTATGTCTGAAATTCTTCCGCTCTCTGACTCCTTATCAACTACCACCATCCAACTTCTTCAAACACTGTGTGGTTAAGATAGAGTGAAATGGCATTTCTGAATTTGGACTTTTAACCGGGGCTGGAAAACTTGAGAAGTCTTCATCTTTCTGCCATAAATGAGGTGCTTTCTGACATAAATGCTCAGTCTCACCCTAGGATAATTCCTGAAGGAGACACAGTCCTATGACTCCATTACATGGGGGAAATGCCAAAATGCTGCCCAGAAGACTAGATAGCGTGCTCGCTTCAGATAGCAGGGCTTCAGAGACGCAGGACACCGACACCACCTGACCCCCGATCTGGACGAATCCTGCTCTCCTTCCCCTCAGTTCCCGAAGTGGCTCCAGACATTTCCAATTCATCTCCACTTATTTGTACCAGCCTGACCACCTGTGAACCACTAGATTTCAGTTCTAGTGCCCTCACTTCAGATCCGATTATGACTTTTTGTAGTTGGCATTTATGCTTTTATTCCAGCCTTGATTTACTCATGATAATCTACTTAACCTGGTCTTATGGCAACCAAGGACTCCTGTTCTCTGGGTCTCTCAGCCTGAAGGATGCATTACATGTTAAACTTTGGTTTCACAGAACTAAATATTTTTACCAATACGATATATCCCAATTTGATAATGTAAGCGGACATGACCATTGGCAATCAGCAACTGTAAAGACTTTCTTGCTTAATGCCTTAGATGAACTAACAGAGATCCTATTTTTCTTTTATAGAAAACGCAATGACTTTACCCTAGTTCCTGAAACTCTGCCCCTGTCTGCCACAATTCAGAGAAGACATTGGGGTTCAAGCTGGTCTAGTTGAGTGTGTGTGCATGCCATGTACTAACAGACATAAACCTAAAGAGTCTTACTTCTAATTTGAGGCCAGCTTAATCTGCAAATGAATTGGTTATAGCCACTATAATTTGTAAAGTAAACATCTAATTTTCCACTTGCTTCCACATGTGACAATAGGAAATAAAAAATCTGAAAGTAAATATTTTTCAAAGGTGCCTTGAGCTCATAGATTTTAGGTATATTATGTTATTCCAACAAAGTATCATTGCTTTAGAATTACTTGTTATTGTAAACATGGCCAAAATATTTCCTCTTTCTCTATCCATGCCCCTTTGCAATGTGAGTTTACAGCTCACTGAGAGATCAAATCATTTATTTCTCTAACCCTTGAAACTACATTGGTTATGTGGCTAGCTTTGGTTGATGAGACATTCATGAACATGGGGCAAGCAGAAACTTGAGAAAAACTTGCCCATTGTGGCTTTCCTTCTTGATGCTCTTGGGCTCCTTCAAGCCTGAGTTTCTGGAAGAGGAGAGACCACGGGGAGAAAGTGGCCCCAATCATCCCACCAGTCTAAGACTAGGCCATCAGAACCAGCCCAATACACCAGCTAGAGACAGATGCATGAATGAGCCTAGCCAAGATCAGCTAAGCCTGTGGCAAACCAGAAACACAGCCTAGATGCACTCAGTTCACATTGTCTACCACCAAGTAAGAGCTAAAAAATATTATCTAAAGCCACTAAGGTATGAGAAAGTTTGCTATATAGTAAAAGTTAAGCAATACAAGTAGCCATAACCTATTTTACTTGGCTTCAGAGAACAGAAAATAAAAATACTCTTAAAATTCTCCTACCTCAAATTTTCCAGGTGACAGATGAATTTTAGTAACCAGCACTTCGGGAAAAACATACTCTGTTCCAAATGTGCCACTTAGAGAGAATACATTAAATCTTGTCACAGCAGTTTCCACTGGTTGTCCACAAGTTGCCACCTCAGCTGTTTTGCATTTCAGCATTGTGCACACCTATGTAGAACAGGTGTAGATAAAGTGCAATACCTTGCATCTCAGTTACTTGTACTAGAACAGTTGGCTCAGTAATTAACTATAACAAAGCAAGTATTTTCTCTGTCTGATAAAGGAATTCGGGTCATCTTTTTTATTATTACCAGCTTTATTGGAAATGGCAAATGATTTGAGAACTCACCCCACTTTGTGGGTAACAAATGGATTGAAAGAAAGAAGCTAGTTTAGAATTAGATTTAACCCATTAGTTTGGCATGCCAGATGATTGGTTGACCCAATAGAGTAGAGGTCTTTTGGCAACCATAGTACTAAAGCTAAAGTGATGGTTAAAATTTGGACCATTACTGTTTTTCCACACCCTTTTTAAAAGAGAGGGCAGTGGGGCACAAAGTGTAATAAGAACACAGTGCATAGCCAACACTATACGGAAAGTTTGGATTTTAAGTATTTGTCATTGGGAGGGAATAGAATGAACAGGATATCTGATTACAAGAGAAACTAAGATGAAGTTGTTATCCCTATTCATTGTTAGTTTTAAAAGTCAAAACAAGACTTTATATTCAGATTCATTAGTGAAACTACATAGGAAAGCTTTATTATGTTACACTATAAATGTACACTTAGTTCATTAGTCAAATACAAAATCATCATGGTCAGGTTAATATTTTTTATTTTCTTTTTGAGTTTTAGGTTGATACTTTTTTAAAGTGTGCTCAAAGCAAGCAATCATATTATACTTAACTCCTATTGCAAATATCATACAATTACTCCTAGTGTGTGTGTGTGTGTGTGTGTGTGTGTGTGTGTGTGTGTAATACTGGCAAAGTGTGGAGTCGTGCACAGCTAAAGAACTTGGCCCTCTGGGACACAAATGCAAAGGGAACCCTGTAATTTAATGACACCTAAGCACTCCCTTTCACCGGAGCTGAGCTTACCTGCCAGTAGTACTTTCTTCTGCGGCCGTGAAGTCCTGAGAAAGCTCCTAAAGCATATACCTCATTCTCTTCTTTTCTTAACATTCTGTAGCTTAAATGACAGCAAAGATCTTCTTGACAGACTGTAAGGTTGCCTGCACTTGCAGAAAGTTTTGTGAAGTTGAACGCATCCCGGGAAATAAATCCCCTGAAAGCACTTTTCTGTCCTGGGAATGGTTTGATGCTCCTGGCGTAGTCACTCCAGCTCACGGCCGCCGGGAAGCCAGGGGAGCTTCGAGGATGCACGTCCACTTCTGAAAGAAGGATCTTTCCCTGCTCTGTTTCCATGTCATAATGGTATACTTTGGGAGAGTGTGGAGCATAAATGCCACTGCCTGTGAACAGGAAGTAAATCTTTTAAAACCAGCACCGCCAGTTTCCCCCTCAGAACTGAGCATGTGGTCACGTGCCCACGCTCATCACAATGAGATGGCACGCAGGCCTCTGGTTACACTGAACGCCCGGGGACTTCTATTCTCTCTCGAAGAGAGAGAGAATGTCTCACATCAAATAAACTTTGACTATAATGAGAATGCTTATGAGCATGATGGAAAGTTAAATCAAATGTACAAATCTTTGTATTCGGAAGTTCATGAAAGGTTGGGAAAGGCCATACAAAATTCTCTCCTGTTCCCTACTACAGTGGTGTTTTAAAATTGCCCCCAATTTTTCTACACCCTTTTCTCCAATAGGTAGATTTAATTTCTTTCCCTTTGAGTGTAGGCTGGACTTTTCGACTCACTTCCAATGAATGGGAGACTACAGAAGTGGCAGTGTGTGGCTAGTTGCAGCGTGCTTGAGTGCTCTCTGTCTCTCTCTCTCTCTCTCTCTCTCTCTCTCTCTGTCTAGAAGAAGTAAGCTGTCATGTCATGAGAGCACAGTGCACAGCCTTATGGAGAGGCTCAGGTAGCAAGAAATGAAGGTCTCCCACCCATAGCCCCTGAAAAACTAAGAGATGTGCCAATATAGCCATGTGCGGCAGCTCTACTGGAGACTCCATGTGACTGCTAACCCAGCTAAGGGCTTGCTGTAACCTGAAGAGACTGAGTCAGGATCACCCAGCTAATCTAGTCCCAAATGGTGACCAGTAGGAAAGTGAGATAATAAATGTTTATTGTTTTAAGCCACTTTTGACTTTGAAGGTAATGTGTTTACTTTGAAGGTATACATGTCAGTAATACATGTCTCTGCCCTTTGCCCATGACCGGGCAAATCTTGTGTAGTTCTGGCTTTCCCACTCACTAGCTGGGAGTTTTGGCAAGGTCCTTGTGCTCCGTGTGTCCAGTGCTGTAATGTGTCAGAGTGGGACGGTGGTGCCCATCCCACAGAGCTGTTGTCAGGATAAAGGAAATAATACACATACAGGTGGTGACACAAGCGAGCAGTTAAAATCAGTCACTAGGCTTTCTTTTCATGTGAAAAGTGAGCAAATACAGTGACTAGTTCCAATAGAGAAGCAAAAAAAATCACAACAGCTCACATCTGAGCATTAGTTTCTCTGCATTTAGACGTATTATCTGCAAGTCTCATCTGGTCATAAATTTACCTGTCATGTTTTGGCGGACATGATGTGTATTGGCCGCAAGAAGATTGACTCTCATTCCCATTGCCCAGGCTGAATGGAATTCAATAGCTGTTAAAAGGGGCAAAACATTCATCCAAGCTGTGGGAAACAGTATGGTGTCCACATGGAAATTCTTCACCAGGGTCACGGCAGGATCGTGGAACAAGATATCAAAGCATGTGAAAATGCCAAACCTTCCGAAGGCGGTGTTGAACGTCACCAGCTCGGGCTTCTCAGGCACATCGAACTGAGGCTCAGAATAGAGGTGGTACTGTAACAAATGCACGAGATCAAACCAGAAAAACCTTCTTTATCAAAGAGATGACTTGTAAAAACCCTCCAAAATTAGTAACAGATTTGGCTATGGTCAACAACAGCAACTCTAGAGGAAACGAATTAATCTGGTAATCAGAAGTGGAAGTCCAAGGAAAATGTAGTCTCTCTCTCTCTAATTCCTTCCAAGTAAACTTAAACAACTATCCTACTCTACTACAATAATTAGAGTCAACAGTTTAATAAAGTGGTCTGCAAAGTGGAGAATAAAGAGGGTTAGGAGCAAGACTATTAAAGTTTCTTTCTACAATTGTTTTCTATCAAAAAAATGAAAAAAGAAGTGAACTTTACTAGTGTTTTTTTAATTTTATTTATTTATCTGTAGAAGGGAAGGGAAGGAGAGAAGGAGAGAAATACCAATGTATAGTTGCTTCTGGTGCATCCCCTGCTGAGAACTGGCCCCTTCTGGGAACTGGCCTGCAACCCAGGCATGTGCCCTGAGTAGGAATCAAACCATGATCTTTTGGTTCACAGGCCTGTGCTCAATCCACTGAGCTATACCAGCCAGGGGGGTGGTATTTTTAAAATTGATTGACAAAGGTCCATATGTTAGAGCTCATGGGTCAGGAATAGTCTTCAAAGTGCTCTGAGGGGACAGTGAGAGCCCCTCGGTTTAGAGTAAGCAGAAGTTCCTCCCTCACTTGTCCACATTCAGTGCACTGCACGGTCCTGAACTTTACCTGGGCTCCGTGAAATGGGTTGATCAGCTATGCTACCAGTTGAACTAAATAAACACTTTAGGAATGACGGAATCCTTAAAATGACTCTTGCAAAGAAAGTGTATTAAAAATAATACTAAAATGCAAAGTCTAGATAATAAAAAATGGAAGATCTGATATTTGTATTTCTAACATGAGACACATTTTTTAGGAGAATATGCAAGTTTAATTACAAATGAAAAGAAGTTGTCAAAACCCACAAAATCATGAAGAAAACTGTTTGAAAGTTATGGGTTTTATTTATAACTACAAAACTAAATAGACATACAGTGACAACTCAGGTTAAAATTGTTTCTATAGCAGTACATGATAAAAAACATTTGAAAACACTTGGGCTAATACCACTCCACTTGGCAAATACTTGTATTTTAACTGGGACTTCCAGCAGATTATTTCTTCACTCAGAAGATTCTGAGGCTACATCTGAAAGTGCTGAAAGACAGTCTAGGGAGTAAGGGAGCACACACCTGACATGCATATCTCATATCTTTAAAAAGGCTGGAATCTCTCTCCCTGCCCAATTTAGTATAAAACCATGGCTTAAGTTTATTATATTCTTTTAATTCAGAGTTTAAAGTAAAAATTTTGTGATCTGACTTTAAATCCATAAGAGGGTACTTAAATGAACTGGCATAGAAAATTTTTAAAAAAAGATTATTTTCATAACTTGATAGAAAACAGGGAAATCAACTTCTGGGGAACTCATTCATACAATTTGGAAACATCCTTGTATCATGTCAGTATTAAATGGCATCTAGATTATAGTCACCTTGGTATCCTTTGAGTTAATATTAAAATTATTTTTATGTACAAAAGATTTATCTCAATTCTAGACTATTTCAACATCTTTCTAATAGGTCTTTGTCTATTTTGTTCCCAGATTAGTGTTTTTCTAAAATGCGTTTTTTTTCAGTGCTTGCCTTAAAAAATCTCCAACGACATCATACATAGGGAATGAAGCTCAAGATGCTACACACAACATTCACTGCTCTCACAAGAGGTGTCATTTCCCCCCTTACCTTATGGTAGCGTGCCACCAGTTGTCCCTTCTTGTCATACACCACATTGGTATTGTACTGATACCAGCCATTAGGAGGACAGGTGGTGGTGTCATTAGGGTTACATGGCTTTTTGTCTCCAATATTTGCCACAACATAGATAGAGTTGCTCTTGGCCAGGCAGCTGAGTCTCACTTGTACTGGTGTGTGACCAAATCTACATCAAATTTTAATGAACACATTTTAACAAGTCAGAGAAAGATAACTACTGTATAATAGCATTCACATGTAAAATCTAAAAAGGCTGAACTCAGAAAAACAGAGTAGAATAGTGGTTACCAGGGGCTGGGGGATGGGGGAATTGGGATGCAAACTTGCAACTAGTAGAAAAATAAGTCTTGAAGATCTAATGCACAGGATAGTGATCATAGCCAACAATATTATATTATAAACCTTAAAGAAATGTTTATACAAAACAGAAGTGATAGTTACGTGACATAATAAGAGGGGTTAACTAGAGCTATGGTGGTTATCATATTGCAATATATAAATGTATTAAATCAACACATTACATACCTTAAACTTACACAATATTATGTGTCAGTTATATCTCAATTAAAAAGGCATTTCAACTTCAAATGTATTTTAGTCATTTCAGATGTGAACAATAACAAACTCCTAGATACAGAGACCAAACGGATGGCTCCCAGGTGGGAGGTGGGGGTTGGTGGCTGGATGACAAAGGGGAAGGGATCAAGAAATACAAATCGGCAGGTACAGAAGGGCCACAAGGATGCAGAGTGCGGCATGGGGAATATAGTCACTAATACTGTGATAATTATGGTATGGTGCGAGGCGGCTACTAGACTTATCAGAGGTACCACTTCCTAAGTCATATAAATGTCTAACTGCTATACAGTATACCTGAAACTAATAAAAGACTGAATGTCAGCGGTATTTAAAAAAACTTAATTAAAAAAATAACAGTAAGAGCCTAAGTGTAACTGAAGTTAGTATAAAAATTATGTAGGAGAAATATTGTATTTTAAAAGCTACAAATTAGACTTCATGAATTTTTTCTACATTATATTTATTGCTCTGGCAATGCATTATTCACTCTCCTACATCATTGGTTGTCTCCTCCCTAGGGTCATTCCATCGGCATGCAAAATGCTCTACTACCTTGCATTTACAAAAAAATGAAATAAAACCTTCTCTTGAACCCAAACGCCTCTAAATCTTGCTCAATTTCTCAGTTCCCTCTCACAGCAAAGCTCCTAGAAAAAACTGTCCATCTTGTGGTTCCCAGCTTGTCTTCTCCGTGTTCTCTTCTGAGGCACTCAAATCAGCTTTCATTTTCATGATCCCAACACACAACTCTCATTACTGCCAATGAAGACCCACGTCTTACTTGATCTCATCCTATTTGTCCGCAGCCATTGCCACAGTTAATCACACCCTCCTCCTGGAAACCCTTTGCTGGCTTATTGGACCCCACACTTTCCTGCTCATTGGCTCCTCATCTCATTCTCCTTTGCTGGCTCCTCCACATCTTTCCTGAGTCTAAACATTGATTTCCTAGATCTCAAGTATTAGACCCTTTCTCTCATTTAACTCTCTCCATAGGTGAAGCCATCATGGTGTGAAAACCTTCTGTATGCTGACTCCTGATTTTCTGTCTCCAACCCTGACCTTGTCTTTTCATGTCAGGTTGACATCTCCACCTGAATGTCTAAAGGACATCCCAAACTTAAGATGCACCAAATTGACTTCCCAATTTCTACCCCAGAAATATGATTTCTTCAGTGCTCCCTATACATGCAAATGTAATTCCATGTCTCTAGCTGCGCAGGCCAGAACTTGGGAGTTACTCTTGGAGCATGTCTTTCTCTCATACGTTCACATCTGGCACCAAATCCTGTGCCAGAATCCTGTACCTTGACCTCTGAAACATATCTATACTCTGCCCACCTCTTTCCACCTCCGCCAATTCCAACCTGGTTTCGGCCCCTATCAGCTCTAAGCAGGATGATTACAATAGCTTCCTAAGTGATCTGCTTTGTCATTACCCTCCTGCACTTTTCCCAATATAGAAACCAGAGTGGTGCTTTTAGAGCATGAGTCAGATTGAGTCACTCCTGAAATCAAAACCCTCCAGTGTCTCCCCTTCACAATCAGAGGGAAAACCAAAGTTCTTACAATAGACTTCAAGACCCTATCAGAGGCGCCCAACCTTTGGCGTCTCTGAAGAAGAGACCCCAACTAGAAGAGTTGTCTTGAGCCACACACATTAAATACACAAACACTAATGAAAACTGGTGAGCAAAAAAGGTCTTAAATAAATGTACGGTCCTATGTTGGGCTGCATTCATAGCCACCCTGAGCCGCATGCAGCCCACAGGCCATAGGCTGGGCCCCCCTGCATCTCCACACCCCCACAGCACAGTCCCTTCTGACCTCATCTCACAGCGTCTGCCCCTTGCCAATGCACCCGAGCCACATTTACTGAAAGCTCCCTAGTCAATACAAGTTTAAAACTAACAGCAATAGGTAGTGGAAAAACACAATAAAGATTAAATAAAATAAAATACAAATAACCACAATAGGTCCTACACCTCATCCCACCCAAGTACCACATTTTCCCTATTTTTATCACAATACATTCTATATAGCAATTGAGTTTGTTTACATCTCTCTTCCTCCACAAAATATTCATCACCCAAAGGGTGGGCACAGACTCTGTATTGTCTGCCCTACTCCCAGAATAGTATCTGGCACATAGCAGGTGCTCAATAAATAATGATTGGATGGATGAATTAAATTTGACTGTACTGGGTGATGATGCAAGGCCATTTTCTGGCAAAAAGCTCTCCTTCTACTCCAGGGCTGTAAAAGAGGCACTTGCTAACCATATGGAAGACCCTGTCCTCCAACATTTACTAGTTCCCATAGTGACTGTGATCTTTGACTTATCCATAAAATTGCAACATGTTTTGTTTTTAACAGGAAATCCAGAACTTAATCCCACTGTGAGATTAAAAACAAATGCGTTGTCCCAATTCTTAAAACTTCTGTGCAGAAAAACTGTCCAGCTATTGGACTTTCGTTTGCACAAAAGAAAATTTCTTATAAACGCATAGAGTGATCAGCTCAGAACAGGAATGATGAGAAGACAGAACCATCAAGGGTCATGAAATCCAATATTCTCATCTTTGCTCTCTAGAGCGAAGAAATGTCCTTTCCTAACAGCCCTTATATAAATGTCAGAATAACCAGGAATGCTTAAAAAAGTGTGGTAGCCATAATTCCCCAACAATAATATGGCAGGGGAATGTTTGATAAACTTAATTTGAGGTAAAAAAGTGAGAGAGTGTGAGAGGGTAAGGGAGTGAGAGGATTTAAGAGGTGAGTAAGAGTAAGTGTGACAGAGAGAGACATTTTACTGCAAGTTTTGAAGTGTGAAAATCTATACCTCAATAATCTCTTCTTAGGAATTTATAGGATTTATAAAGTAAATATACACCTATATCTATTAAGTATTTTATACTAGACCATTTCTACATTACTTTTTCCCAGAAGAATTACTGTTATAAGCCTAAAAAATGCAAACTTTCAAAGCATAAGGTCTTATCATTCACTAGAAAGTACATGGTGAGGTCTTTCTGCCTGAGATGCAGGTTCCAGAACAGAGACTCTGTAACACTGCAATGTGGTACCCTCAGATAGACACACTGAAATAGTTTCCAAACACAATCCACTGTCCGCTTCAGAAAGTACTTCACTACTTGTATCTATGATGTCCTCCTCCTCTTAGTCTCTAGTCTCGTTTACATATTTTCTCCAAATTTCATGAAGATATAAATCATAAATACTTGTTCAATAGTATCTAAGTACCATTATTTAAATCTAACAAATGACAAGATAAATATAACAGTAACATATAGCATCTACATGATAATTCAAGATTTATCATTTTGCTGCTGTGAACATACACATTTTAAAGAATTACAGCACTTTTGCACAAATAATGTGGGTAGATAAAATACTTGTGGGGGTCTCGACATGGAATCCAGTTCACCCGAGGGTCTGGGATGTCCTCCAGGTAAGGAAAAATGGTTTCCCTGGTAAAACTCCATCCATAAAGTGCATCTTCTGGTGTCACAATAATTTCAGCACCCTGTTCAAAACAAGTCAAATCCAAATTCTCTCTCCATGTGTAACACAGACAATGCAACACTTTAATCTTCCACCAGATCTCATGTCCCTACCATAAATCATGATTAGGAGAAATAAAAGAATACCTGCTGGGCTGCCTGTTTAATTGCTTTCTCCAGAATATCTATATTCTTGTTCATAAGGAGCAAGGCATTGTCCTGGGAAACAGGTGTCTTTGTTTCCTCTGGCAGTATGACCGCGTGTTCATACACTGCAGCTATAAACGTATCCAGGGCACGGACGTGCAGGGTAACCAGGGCAAACACTGCCACCAAGGTTTGAAAGGAGGAAGTGCTCATGGCCAAGGTCTAGAGATTTCTGAAAATGCAAGTAATATTCGTGGAGCATTTATAAAGGGTGATATATTTATGTAATGTATGGCTGTCAGCCATTGAGCTCTTATTTAATAATCCTATGAATATTAGACCCAACCACTTTCGAGGGAAAAATATTGTCATTAAATGAATACAGTAAAATAGTATTACAAAGGTTGTTCAATGTATACTATTGATAAGATTTTAGGCAAAATTTCAGGAGAACAAAATGTAAATGTAGTAAAATTGTACCCTTTAATCAACAGAAAGAAAATGAAACTAAACTAACTCTCATGTGAAGAATCATTACCACATACCTGCTATATCCCCTTCACAAGGTTATTCTGAGAGTCAAGGCCACATGAACATTCTCTGTAAGATCGGGATGGGATGACATCATTAACACAAATGGGTGATGATAGAGTAATGGAATAATCCTGACTGCTCAGTGTGATTTCATTGTTAGGCCCTCAGAACAACCCCTATTCAATTTAATGAATCTAATCTATTTGGGGTGCTAGGGACGAAATGGGGGACAGGGTACCTGGGCACCAACTCCTGGATCTTGCCAAGCAGGACGTAGCAGATGCACGTCAGCCACGTGATGAAGACAGGACGAAGACACCGAGGAACTCAGGATGGTGAGGAGAAGCCTTGGGCTCTGCCGCAGCCTGAAGGACGTCCTAGTCTGGCCTCCCTCCCGGAAATGAGATGGCATCAAGTGAGCTGATAAGCGAAGAGTTGGAAATAGCACGCACATTCATTGACAGCGTTTCCTCATAGGCAGCAAGGATGACACACCAAAATATGAAGCAAGAAAAACAGGTTCTGCTTTTCAAACTCTTGTTTTGATAACTGTATACCAGGAAAAATGAGAAAGAAGAATAGTGCTATATTCAAAAATATACACAGCGGTAAAAAACAATGTTTCAGTCCCTTCCCCCATTGAAGGCTTTCATGCATCTTCAGCAGATTGTTTGAATCTGCCTTTTTGGAAGGAAATGTCAGCTTGAGAAGAACCAGCCTGAACTTTAACCATCTTTTGGTCCCAGGTCCCACCCAGGTGAGGCTCTGGACTTGCATGGGTATTCAACTCTTCAGACAGTGAACGCAACTAAAACCGAGAGAAAATCTGAGAGTAATGCCATGCCACGCCCTACTGGCTGGAAAGGGTTGTGTCACAGGAAGTTGCCAGTGGCCAGCTGATTTTGACCTACAGCATCAGCAATTTAAAGTGGTTCAAACTGCACTCTGCTTTCTGCTCTCAGAAGTTGGGGACTGTGGGCCACTGAGCTGCAAAAGTCCCTTTGAAGTGGTAGCATGTTCCCACACCGAGGGTCTCCACTTCTTCAAAACTAAAACAGTAACCGGTTCTCTTGATGATTTCGAGTGTAGATCATTAACTTTATCTCTGATCCAACTCTGCCAAAAGTTCATTGCATTCATCAGAAATAACTTTTAAAAACTCCCTTGGTTGGTGCTACAGACTAAATCCTTATGTGTCCTCCCATGCCCCAAACTCATACATTGAAACCCAACCCTTAGTGTGATAGTATTAGGAGGTGGGGCCTTATGTCATGAGTAGGCAGCCCTTGAATATGAAATTCCTGCTATCATAAAAAGAGTCCTAAGGGAAATTCCTTGCCTTTTCTGCTTTGTGAGAACACAATAAGATGCTGTCTCTGAACTAGGAAGTGCATCCTCACCAGACACTGAATCTGCTGGCACCTTGATCTTGGACTTCCCAGTCTCAAGAAATGTGAAAAATAAATTTCCATTGCTTATAAGACACCCAGTCTACAGTATCCGTTATAGCAGTCCAAATGGATTAAGAGATAGATTCAAAGATTTTGGTAAAGTAAGGATGACTGCCTTACTTTGAGGACAACAGAAATAAACCCAAAGGAGCTGGATCAAAGGCACACATGTTGGCAGTTATAGAAACAAACATTTGAAAGGGTAGGGTAAAAGACAAAGCTGACATCTCAGGTACTACAGAGGGGAAAATGAAATGACAGATTAAAAACACAAAAGTGTTGAACTGTGGTACATTTATTGTTTTATCACACAATACAAGGCTGTTGACAAAAAAAAGTTCAAACCTGAAAAAAGGTTCAAAGAGTTTATTTGAGTCAAGACTGAGGGCCAGACCCACAATCAAAATCTCAGAATTGAGAAAGTGCTCCAAGGAGAAGCAGTTTTGTAGAGATTTTATATATTAAAATCAAAGGGCTGAATGGAAGGAAGGTTACATGAAATCTATTGGTGACAAATTAAGGAGGCTGAGGAAGGCTGAGTGGCAACATCTCTAGCACTGAATAAAAAGTAAAAATGAAGAGACACATACTTGTTTTGCACTGGCAGGTGCAGGATAGTTAACATTTAACATACACAACACACAGAGGTATGCAGGTAAAGGATAACAACAAGGAGTGTTGGGTGGTCTGGCCCCAGGACCAGGCGTTTATCTCTGAAGGTCTGGAGAAGAGATCGGATCATTCTGCCAGTCTAAGTATATTACCCTAGTTGCACAAAAACAATGAACAGGGCTTGTTCAACATAAAGATGAATCTATCATATAGGCCTCAGGGCATAACTTCCCATTATAATCTGCTCAGTTAGGAAGTTTTATGACCAGAATATTCCGTGTGATTATTGACTTTGTCAGGTCTGCCAGGTAGCCCTGTATTCATTCACAAGAGCTTCACAATAATTCACCAGTTAATTATTGTCTTCATTTCCAATGGGCAAGGATGTAAAAAAGCATGCTCGAGGCCTAAGATGCGTAACTTCTTACAGGTATGTCTAGGTGAAGCCTTCTACTCCCCTGGATGCTGTCTGCTTTCTTCTTTCCAAGGCCTGGGGCTTCTCCAATCACCCTTGACTTCTTGTTTTGGTTCACTTTCTGGGTAAGCAGCACCTGGCCAGAAGGTTCTCCTCCCTTAGCCCTAGGAGATGGAGTATTTGTGTTGTCCTAGCTGGACGACTCTGATATATGGGGTTTTCTTTCAAGCAGTCTTAGAAGCCAGGTAACACAGGCCAGGTAGAATTACGTGACTGCAACTGAACAATGTCCAAATGGCCAGGAGAAGTAACTGGGCAATAGAAGCTAGCCATTTTTTAGCCCTTAAGACCTAAGATGACTCTTATATTCATATCACATTCTTTCTCTCTAGCACATTATTCTTTTATTACTATAATACAGATCCACTCTAGAACTTTCCTCCAAGTGGACATAAATTCTGTATGGTTCTGCATCTAATTACAGGTAACGTACATGGCATGAATTTTTCTCACTTTAGTTGTGAGACTTATGATGGCACTGAGTAATGCTTAATGGCATGGACGCTGAAGCCAGAATGCCGGGGTTGAATCACTTCCCAGCTGGGTGACTATAGGTAAGTGATGCATCCTCTCAGTACCACAGTTACCCTCATCTGTGTAAAGGTGACAATATGTGCTGAATAATTGTTGCTGTCATTATTGCTTTATGCCACAAGACAATGGTCCTATTTGAGGGCAACGCCTAGTATAGCTCTGACCCAGGTCTTTAATTCTCTCTGCTCCTATGTACTCATTCTTAGCTACTAATTTGCTAAAAGAACATCAACTAGTCCACGTTTTCTATTTTCTGATTCTGCTGTGCCTTTCCACAGTCTTTTGTGTTTCCTCTCTTCTATGTCAATCTTCCCTGAATGGTTATTAAATTATTAATGTAAAGTCCATTTCTACCAGCTAATTTTGAATGTTTTCTGTCCAACTGTACCTTGGAGTCTCCCTTTGATCAATAGTTCTAATTCCTTAATCCATACATCATACAATTTTTAAAAACATACATTCACAATACACAAACACACACACACACACACACACACACACACACACCTTACTGAGAAACTGGATTATTTGCACATGGCTGTCAGGAATGTAAAATAGAGCCAGCCACTCTGGAAAACAAGCTTGGTAGTATCTGGGGGAAACAAAAAAAGAAAAAAAAAAACCCTAACCATGACACTCTGTCCTGTTCTGGGTGGAGCAACAAACGGAGATGGGGCAGAATCCCAGCACCTACATCTTGTTCTCAGTTCTGGAAGAGGACAAGACAATACTGGTGGACAGTTTAGAGGCCCTAATGCAGGAAGAATTTCTTTATGATCTGTTACTCCAGTTTCTGATAGGCTGCACCATTAACCAAAATTACTATATGCAAAGACAGAGAAGCAGAAGTCTTGAGTTTGTCTGTTCTGAACACCTGGCATCTGTGTCATGTGCCAAAGTTCTGCTAATTGGCACATGTTTCTATGGAAGACCAATTAATGTGCAGAATCCGTGTGGGAGTGCTTGCTCTTCTGAATCAATTGACCAAAGTTTTGAGAGCTGTGTTAAGACTAATTTCCCAGCTACAGGAATGAAGAAGCTGTGGGAAGGTCTTCCTTTCCTATATATATATTTTCCAATTAATACTGCTGCATGACCTTAAGATTTTTTTCTTCAGAAAATGCAAGGGCGTGTGTGTAACCCAGTGCTGTTGCTTTCTTACTACAAAATGATAGCACCACTTCCTAATGCACAGCCTCACCCTCCCAGTATTCACGCTCCACTTCTAGAGGCAGGTCTGAGCTCTTAGGAATGAACTCACCAACAACCCAGTGACTCTGATCTTTATCAGCTAAGTGAACAAGAGGCAAAACACCCTAGCAACAGTGATGAAACAGAAGACAATACAGGAAATGACTAGAGCCCGAAGTTCTGAAGGTGTATGAAGAAAAATATTAATATTATGTTCAAATAAAACACTTATTTACACTAGTTTTCTTTTAAAAGGAAAAAACCTCTATCAGAAGTCACTGAACAGCTAAGTTTATGGTGGTCATTTTCAGAATATATAATAATGTGGTTTAATTGATTTGGTATTCAAATTTGTCTTGAATGCTAAACACTTGAAATAATGTACTACTTTTTGTATCTGTCATGCTTTTTGTCAACAATGGACTTTGAGTTGTTTCCTTTCATGCCACCATGCCACAACTACATGGAACTATAAATGGGAAGTGACAGTACTGAAGCCCATGACGCCCTCCTAGATTGTCACCTGTAACTCTCAAATACACAGAGGCTGGAGTGAGACTAGGCCGTGGATTTTCTGAAAGGAACCAGTACAGATATTTGAAATTGGCAGGAGCCAAATTTATTGGGTTGTTCCTAATGAAGACTGAATAAGCAGGCTTTAGTTAGTTTCCTTGGTTAACACATTAGATTTTTTTCCTGTCTGAATATGCTATTTCCAAGTCTCACTCTCCTGTGGGTTTATTTCAGAAACAGAGGACATATAACCCTGACCCCAAAGGAATGGCAACTGTCACAGGACTAGTCTTCAGGTCGTTCCTTTTTGACCTTTACTTTTGATCCTTACTTTCATTTACTAACTGTATTTCATGTAAATCAGTTTGAAAATTATGTCCGTATTTATTATCCACCTCTCTTGTCAGCAAAAGGAGCTACTGATACATGCAGCAATGAAGGTGGATCTTAAGAGCGTTACGCTGACTGAAAGGGCCAGTCCCCAAAGTGAAGAACATACTCTGTGATTCTATTTGTACAACATTCTTGAAGTGACAAAATGATAGGAATGGAGAACAGATTAGTGATTGCCAGACAGTAAGGAGAGAGTGAGGGTGAGCGGAAACTGGATGTGGCTCTCAAAGGGCAACATGAAGGATGGGGAACGTTCTGTGTCTTGCCCCCATCAGCATATCCTGGCCATGATGTTCACTATAATGTAGCTCATGTTTCCATTGGGGAAAACTGGGTAAGGAGTATACAGGACCTCTGTGCATTAATTCTTACAACTGCACGAGAATCAACAATAATTCACAAATGTAGAAAGTTTCATCAAAAAAATGTGATTTGCCCTTTTTACTTTTCCTTTGGTTAATTTGAATATCATATATGTATATAAGTTGCAATAGGATCTTAACTAAAATATACAGTTTATTCATTATTATTATATCCTACCATCAGCTACATAAGTTAGTTTCCTTTCGTAAGAGGATCCTTTCAAGGTGGGCCCCTTGTTACATTTAGAACATAAATATATAAAAATATAAACCTTCACGCAGGATATCCTTCGATAGTTTACCCTGCCTTTTGCTCGTTTCCCTTATCCTTTCCCCCGTATTTTTAACTCTTATTGTCGTTTATTTTAATACTACTAGCGAAATCATAAAATGAGGAAGGGAAAGGTTAGTTTCATAAAGTGACTTTAAATACACTGGGATCCGCGGCTGCCTGTGTTGACAGCAGCTTGTTGGGAATGGAAAGAGAAAGTTCTCTCACCAGAGGTGGGCCGCTCCGGGCCGGGCCCACCGCGCTATCCTACCGCTAGGCCGCCGGTCCAGCGGTCCCGGGGGTCCACGTGGGGAGGCGGGCTGTTGAGGGGCCGTGACCCCCTTAAGAAGGGGGCGCTGTGCGCGGTCTGCTCAGCTGCCCGAGTCTGGAAGCGCGGCCCGGCGGTGGCAGCGGCTCACGCCGCCCCGCAGCCTTCCGGTCCAGCTCCGCGGTCCGTGCCTCCGGGAGCCGTGCGCGGTGCTTTGGGGCTGCACCGCTGGGAACTGGCTTTGATCCTCAAAGCCAGGCGGCGGCCGGAGACTGCTGGCCGCTGGAAGCCAGGCGAAGGAAGCCCAGACCCACAGAGGGGGCGATGGTGAGGAAGGAGGAAATCCTGGGGGAACGTGCGCCCCCCACGGGGTCTCGGCCCACACCGGCCGCCCTGCAGAGGCGGGGATTTGCTGGCGGCTGCTCGTGCACCAACAACTGCGGAAAGCAGGATGTGACATTGTCTCGAGACGGTGAGGTGATTAGACCCAACACTGTAAAACGCCCTCACCCAGGAAGGAAAGGAGCGTCCCAGGCCCTCCAGACGAAAACTCCGTTCCACAAAGAAGAGCAAATGAGACGACTCACCAGATTTTAGCCTTGTACTTAATTCACTCGCTTAGGAGCATCGTGGGTTAGTAATTTACAAGCTCTGCCTTTATATTAGTGTATTACAAGGTGCCATTTGAGTTTTCTAGGGATTTTTAGCTCTTGATCCCCTTCGCTGTGAGAGGTGGGGGAGGGCCTTGCTTGGAGCCACTTTGTAACCTGTGTGGTTCTTGATTTTGTTAAATGTCATTTTTTTTTTGTCGGTGAGGTCTTTTGCCCTACAACACTAACATCATTTTAAACCACAAAACAAAATTGGCTTGGATTGTGAGCTAGTCATCAGACTGTATAACTATGTGTAATAAAACATTCAGACTGTAAAACCATCCTGTATTATATGAGTAATTTTTTTAATTTATTTTTTTAATTGATTATGCTGTTACAGTTGTTCTATTCCCCCCTTTATTCCCCTCCACCCTGCCCCCCCATCCCCACCATTACCCCCCTTTAGTTTATGTCCATGTGTCTCAAGTCCTTTAGGTTCTATATTTCCCATGCTATTCTTGCCCCCCCCCATCTATTTTCTATCTACTGTCTATGCTACTTATTTTCTGTACCTTCTCCCCCCATCTCCTCCTCCCACTCCCCTGTTGCTAACCCTCCTTGAGATCTTCATTTCTATGTTTCCACTCCTGATCTAGCTGTTCTTTTAGTTTGCTTTCGTTTTTAGGTGTGGTTGTTAATAACTGTGAGCTTGTTGTTCTTTCACTGTTCATGTTTCTTTAACTTTTTTTTCTTAGATAAGTCCCTTTAACATTTCATATAATAAGGGCTTGGTGATGATGAACTCCTTGAATTTGATCTTATCTGAGAAGCACCTTATCTGTCCTTCCATTCTAAATGAAAGTTTTGCTGGATAGAGCAGTCTTGGTTGTAGGTCTTTAGATTTCATGACTTGGAATATTTCTTTCCAGCCCCTTCTTGCCTGTAAGGTCTCTTTTGAGAAATCTGCTGACAGTCTGATGGGGACTCCTTTGTAGGTGATTGTCCCCTTAGCTCTTGCTGCTTCTAGGATTCTCTCCTTCATTTTAATTTTGGCTAATGTAATTATGATATGCCTTGGTGTGTTTCTTCTTGAGTCCAACTTTTTTGGTACTCTCTGAGCTTCTTGGATTTCTTGGAAGTCTATTTCCTTTGCCAGATTGGGGAAATTTTCTTTTATTATTTGTTCAAATAATTTTTCCAATGGTGGTTGTGTCTTTCTCCCTTCTGTATTAATTCTATATTGGAGCGTTTGAAGATGTCCTGGAGGTTCCTAAGACTCTCCTCATTTCTTTGAATTCTTGCTCCTTGACTCTTTTCTGTTTGGCCATTATTTGCTTTCTTCTGGTCCACTCCATTGATTTGAGTCCCAGTTTCCTTTTCATCTCTATGGGTTTCCTGTGGTTCCTATTCATTTCCCTTTAGTTTAGTCTTCATATGTTTCTCTAATTTGTGGCTATAATCAACCAGATCTATTAGGATCCTGATTACAGTGTTTTAAACTGTGTGTCTGAGAGTTTTGCTATTTCTTCGTCGCTTAGATTTATCTCTGGGCTTTGAGATCTTCCTGCGACATTTTTATTCTGTTCTGGCCCTTTAAATGTGAGAAGCGGCGCCTTGGGCTCCCAGGTCGCTGGGTTGTGACGCGTACGTGGGCGGATCAGCGGGAAATGGCGGCGCCCTTTACTGCCGCACACCACGGGGACCTTCGGGCCCGGTCCAACTGCCCACTCCCTCGCCTGTCCTCGCCCCGCCGAGATAGGCAAATCCGGTCACAACGCAGCACCGCCTCCCCACTGTTCGCTCACCGGGTGGGTTGCTCGGTCGCTCACTAGGTCCAATCCTGGGTTTGGAACCCGTGCCTGGATTCGCGCATCTGGATTCCGCGCCTGGGTCCGTCCGACCTGAGTCCTCATGTGCAACCCCTCACGAGACGCCGGTTTCGCCCCTTACCGGTCGGGCTGAAGAATTTGTTGTTAACGGACTTCCGAAAAGTTCAATTTTCTGTGTTCTGGTTGTGTTTTCTGATGCTAATATTTAGTTGTCCCTAAACTTGGTTGTGTGAGAAGGCACGGCACATCCACCTATACCTCCATCTTGGCGGAAGTGTCCTATATGAGTAATTTTTGATCGGAGTACTACACATGATTAAAAAAAAAAGTTCTCTCACCAGAGAGCTCGGAATCTTTGCGTTGACTTTGAACTCTCAACAGTCAACAGCGCTGGTAACGGTAATGGACAGCTGGTCCTGAGTGCGAGGCCAGGCCGGCTCGGGGAGTTGGGGACGCAGCCACCAGAGCCCGGCTGGAAGCTGCCGGCGGATCCTTTGGGGCAGTAACAGCGGGGAGCGTGGCAGAGCCTGAACCGCAGGCGCTCAACGTGTCGTTGGCCTCTGGGCGCAGCAGGGTTGGGGTGCGGGGGACGCCCAGGCAAGTGCCCGCGCTCCGGGAAGAAGACTACTGAAGTGGGACCAGAGTGATTTAAGCCTTGAAGCCGGGCTAGATCATCAGGGCCTGGACGTGTTCTCTACCCCACAGGAATGCAGTGAGCCAAAGTCACACTCTTTCCTGGTGTCGCTGTGGGAAAAGAGGATGGGCGACAGCCTCTTTCCTCCCACTCTTTGCTCCCCCAGCACCGGAACACTCTGGTCTCAGGGGCGAAGAGACTTGGGGGAAGCAGAAGAATGAAGAGTTCATTGGATTTGTGAATATTCTATTTTGGCAATTAATGCCAAAAAAAATGTCCCCAAACTGTCCTACCTCCAGTGGCACTCTACCATCCCCAATCTTGGCTTTGTCATCTTTTACCTATTTTTCCCCTGCTTTGGTGGTGTGAAAGCGTCACAGGTGGGGACCCCCTGGCTGCACCCTCCCACAAAAGGGAACCGCATCATGTTTCATGTGCTCCTTCAGCATCTGTTATTTATTTATATTGATTATGCCATTACAGTTGTTCTAGTTCCCCTCTTCATTCCCCTCCACCCTGAACACCCCTCCCCCACCATTCCCCCCTTTAGTTTATGACCACGTGTCTCAAGTTCTTTAGATTCTATATTTCCCCTACTATTCTTGCCCTGCCCCTATTTTCTACCTACTGTCTATGCTACTCATTCTCTGTACCTTCTCCCTGCTTCTCCTCCTCCCACTTCCCTGTGGCTAACCCTCCATGTAATCTCCATTTCTATGGTTCCGCTCCTGATCTAGCTGTCCTCCTAGTTTGCTTTTGTTTTAGGTGTGGTTCTTAATAATTGTGAGTTTTAGGTCCCCTCATCATCTGTTTTGCTCCCTTTCTTCCCCATCTCATTGGGAGGTACCACCATATACCCACACCCTCAGGCAAACACCTGGGAGTCATCTTAAATTCCTTCCCCCTTTCCCTCAGCATCAGCAGGTCCTGTTGGTTCCACCTCCACACACATCCTTTTCTCTCCACCTCCACCACCACATCCCTGATCCAAACCATTAATGTCTCTCTGGATCTTCCATAGATCTCCCTCCAGCCCCTGCTAAATCCCATCCCCACTCCCATCCGCATGCCTGCACAACGACCTTCCTGAAATATGAATCAAGTCCTGGCATCCCCACCTAAAAGTCGGCTCCTCCACACTTCCCCAACCTCCCTTCTTTACTTGACTTCCTATGTGCAGACCACATCAAGCCCCTTTGCACATGTTGTAGTCTGCTTTCCCCTCAGAATGGCTGCCTCACTCTCACCCTCCAGATCGCAGTTCAAAAGTCCCACCTCCCTGGAGAGGCCTTGTGTGAATTAGGACCTTACACAGAATCAACCCCATCCAGTTCCACTCTCACATTGTCATGTTTTTTCCTTCCTAGCATTTCTACAAGACAACTAGAGATCCTGGTATTTATCTATTGCTTGTCTCTTCCCCTGAAGTGTAAGTTAGATAAAGGCGGAGATTGTGCACCTTGATGACAGCAAAATCTGTAGCACCTACCACAGGGTCAGTTCAGAAAAGGCATTTAATACTTTTGAATACGTAAATAGATAAAACCATTTCTTCTATTTAAAAATGGTAACTGTGGCTGATATACCGTAGAAATGGATCAGGAGGTATGAGAGTTGCATAATAGAAGTTCTCTTCCAACATGGATTTTACATGAGGTTGGAGGAAGCCCTTCCCTAGTACCTGCTCTAGGAATGGATACATCTGCTAGAAATATGGTTTAAAAAAAGATGGTAGAACTGAAACAGAGATGATGGGAAATGAATGTTAATACCAAGCATTGTTTAGAAATCCAGATAATACTTGAAAATATGTTGCAAAAATGGAAGTCTCAAGTAATGCTATTCTTCTATCTTACATGAAATTTTCAGAAGAGCTGAGGGCAGGGAATGTTAGAGTTTTTTTGCATGGTAGGCAGGAATTTTCTCTTTGAACAAAAACAAAACTCTCAGGACACAGATAAAGCATATCTTTTAAAAACTGATTTCATAGTAATTTTTCTACATATATTGAGTCATTTACATTATCTTTAAGCATATTGTATCTTTCCCTTAAGCACATCATTTGTTTTCTTGTTAATAAAGGTACATTCACGGAATCAATGCAACAAGTGTAAAAAGTAAACAGAGGAAAACAGGTAACCCAGAGTCAAAAAGCATCTTCAAGCCCAAGTTTGATCACTTCAAAAGGCAAAGTCTGGTTGGTTTTCAGCCACCCTTTTCATACATAGAGCTTCAAATGTGGCTGGTTCTGCAGGCCCGCCTTGCAGGACAACAGTAACGTGCAGTCCATCACGGATGATCAAAAAGCATGTGTTCACTTCTGGGATGCTGGTGTGGTGTTCGTGGAGTTCTGTGCGTAAACTCAAGAAAGCTTTTCAGACTTTCCGACTTTCATGTTCAAGGCCAGGAACATCCATCTGCCAACCTTGTATCAATCCAAAATTCTCAAGGCTGGTTTTCATCAGGCAAAAGAGTACTTCGTTCCTCCTCTGTACCAAGGGTGTTTTGAAGTTTTGATCTATGTTGATGGCAAGAAAAGAAGAACCTCAATATTCCTCATCTTTAAAAAACTCAGTACTTACATCTCTGCCCAGCTATCCCCTTAAACACGTCTACCAAGTCCTGAGGCTCAGAGTGCCCAGAAATGTGCTGCCTAGAAGAATGGAGGTAAAATGCTATTTCTCCTTCATTCCCTCAGGATGACTTTTAAGGGGAGAAAAAAGCTCAAGAGTTGACCATACCTCCTTCTTCTCCTTGAGTGCTCCAGCAGATAAAACAAGCCCATCATTAATCCCTTTAACGCAATTAAAGGTACTGGTTAATGTCAAGTCTCCAAGTAGCATTTCTCCACAAATGCAAGGAAAAGGAAAAACAGAGACTGAGTACTCACACTGGCCAGAGCCCACAGACCTTGCACAGCTGCTGCCCATTCGAAACCAATTTTCTCATACAGCCATCCACCCAGTGTCGGTCCGACAAAGGCACTAACCATGGAAAGAAGACAGGGTATTTAGTAGAACAAAAAGAAAGAAAATAAAAGAATTCCTTCCCAAAGGCTGCATGATCCTTCAGTCATAGGTCTGCATTAAATTGGAACCGAGTACCAAAGAAAATGGGCACTCCTGGACCTAGCACTGGATAAGAAAGTACTTCTACCTGATAATGAGGATGCTTAAATCTTTTAAACAAGTGTAAAGTTATAACTGCTTATGAAAAGCTGGTGCTTTATACTAAAAAAAAGATAACAGGCATTCAAAAGAATTTATGTATTATTTACATTACTCTCTCTACTCTTCTAGTATATTAAAAATAACTTAATTCCAGTCCTGGTTGGTGTGGCTCAGTGGACTGAGTGCCAGCCTGTGAATCAAAGTGTCACCAGTTCGATCCCAGTCAGGCCACATGCCTGGGTTGCAGACCAGGTCCCTAGTAGAGGGCTTGTGAGAGGCAACCACACATTGATATTTTTCTCCCTTTCTTTCTTCCTCCCTTCCTCTCTCTAAAAAATAAATAAATGATAAAATATTTAAAAAATAAATAAGTAGCTTAATTCCACATACATTGATGGAGGACACCTACGTTGCAGGCACACATCGGCGCCAGCATGCTCTGGGCCACACACTGATGCTTCTCTCCCTCTCTTTCTCCTTCCCTTTCCCCCTCTCTAAAAATAAACCAATAAAATATTTTTAAAAAGAAATATAAGGGGTGTAACTCCTGGTATAGGAGGGAGTTACCTCTCTGGTATAGTAGAGAGTAAAAGATAATTCAATTAATAAATTTCAAATACTGACATATGCTCCTGATAAATGAACTTAAAAACACGATCTTTAGAAGACCAAGTGCATGGGGCCATTTTGATCAGATATTGAAACTGCTGGCATGACCAAGGACCTTAGAGTCAGAGGGTGTGGGTTAAAACTCCGGTTCTGCTCTGAATGAATTTGGTGCCTTTGGGCAACTCATCTGGTGTCTCAATTTCCTCATCAGTAATTTAGAGAAAGCATTTGCCACCTTGCACATGAAAGTGGAATTCAACAGCCACTCACCCTACTGACCACATTGCACCAAAGAGGCCCGACACGAGCGCCAGTGTACTTAGCCCTTCTTCAAAGCCGTTCTCACTGCAAAGAGAGGCAAGGTGTGTCTGTGATTGAAAGGGGAGCCTGTGTGATACAAGACTGTATAATAGATACATTAAGTAAGCCATGGGTGATCTGGACAAAACCAACAGCAAGAATACTCCATTTTTTAAGATAAAAAGCTAACCTAATTTGAAGGATTTTCATACTGATGTTGGCTTCATGGTGTTCTAAAAATTAATTTTCTTGCATATACGAGACATGATATTAAGAATCATGACCCATTTGCATAAATGCTCAGAAAAAATATATAATTAAGCCCTGGTTGGTGTAGTTCAGTGGATTGAGCATGGGCCTGCGGACCAAAGGGTTGCCAGTTTGACTCCCAGTCAAGGTATATGCCTGGGTTGCTGGCCTGGTCCCAGCAGGGAATGCACAAGAGGCAACCATACATTTATATATATATATAATTAAGAAATTCTTAAAATGAGATGAGCATATAAAGAGAACAGCAGGCAACTTGTAGGAATGCAGGGGTAGCTCCTTGTTTCGATGAGAGATGTGGAATTGACACAGCCTACTACCAATACCCTTCGTGAAGTTCACTTTGAAATGAACTCCTTCGAGTTCACTTTGTGCTCTACACCATCATGCATACTAAACAAAAGACTGATGGCCAAGTGACAACTTCCTGGTATGATACCACGAGTTATAATAAGAAATCTATATTTGATCTTAGTCCGTTTCTGGCACAGAGCTCATAAAGTCCTTGAAATTTCTAAACTGATATAAAACAATATAAAAGCCTTTTGTTATATTGATAAGCTGACTTTTGGAAAACACCTAAGGATGGTGACTGGTTGCCAGAAGAGCCATTCCTGTGATCAGAAGGTTGAAACATTTAGTCTCCACCACCCTTTTATCCCTTCCACACCATTCACCCCTGAGAGGGCAGGGCTGGAGGTCGAATCAATTGTCAATGGATTTAATTACTTAGCCATGCCTAAGCAATAAAACCTCCATAACCTTCCATAAATAAAACAACAACAAAAAAAACAGGGTTCAGAGAACTTCCTGGAATGCTCACACATGCCACCGTGCGGGGCCCCATGCTCCATGAGGACAGAGCGCCTTTGTTCAGGGCCCCACCAAGACTATCTCTTCAACTGGCTGTTGATTCATGCCCTTTATTATTCTTTGTTAGTAAGCCATAGTCTAGGAAGTAATCTGGTACCTGGAGTTCCATGAACTGCTCTAGCAAATTAACCAAACCCAAGTCAGGGATCATGGGAATATTGATCTGTAGCCAGTCAGTCAGAACAAGTGATAACCTGGACTTGTGACTAGCATCTGAAGCAGAGCAGTCCTGTTGGACTGAGCACTTGCTTAGCCTGTGAAGTCTGATGCTAACTCTGGGTCGTCCATGTGAGGATTGAGATGAGCTGTAGACCACCCAGCTGATGGGAGAGAATGACTTGGAAAATCCCCACATGTCAAAATTGGTACTAGAATTAGTCTACCAATCACTCCATGCTTTTGCATGGACCTCTTCTATGAGGGAGGAATATTGCTGAGGCTTTTCCATTTTGCTTAGTTTTTTAAAAGTACATTTGTACAGAGGCATAAACCAAGCTAAGACTCTATCCACAACTCATTTTAGCTATTACTGTATTAATGTTCGTATATGCGATCGCTCATATTGTATTATTACACATAATATTTATATCACAATAGCGTGTGAGATGAAATCATAAAGATTTGGCATTGTGAAGAAATCTAGAATCTTCCAAAATTGAGAAATTCAAGAAAACCTGTGATGCTCACAGCTATTCAATATACAGCTCTTCAAGCAATGAAAGTAACTTACTAGGCACAATTGAGAATCTCTGGGAAAGTTGGGATTATACTCATTCCAGCAGAGACACCATTTATGACCAATACCAGCACCAGGAGCCACAGCTGACTGCAAAGAGTTTTGGGAGAAAAAAAAATTAGCAGTTTAAGAGACACAAAGCTTCATGATGAGGAGGCAGGATCCCAGAGAAGTTCCTTCCACAGGTTCCAGGACTCTTGTCCTCATTGCCGTCAGATCCCATTTCATCCAGTGTGACAGAATATTTTAGCTCATTTTATTTGAGTGTGGGGGGTCAATTCATCCAGATATCTCAGTGTATTTTGTCACATATATCACATGTCTAGAGTCAACCTTCCTTATTATCACCATACAAAACCCTTTCAAAATGGGTGACTATGCCAGTACCAATGCTGTTTCTTCAATTGCTTGGTTTTGAAATTCAGTTGACTGAAAAATGTCAAAGAATACAGGTGGTAAAGTGCCAGGAAACTAATATTGGTACCATATTGGGTGCTATGCCAGTTACTTAACATCAATTACCTGGCTGAATCCCACAGCATCCCTGTGATGTAAGTACTGTTTGAAAATGATTAAAGAAGACAATTTAGGTGATACAAAGAGTGTCCTTTTGGAGAACTGCAAAATGGGGTAGAAGGCAGGAAGCTTCGATAGGGTAAAGTACAAAGAACGTGGAAGAGACAACTAGAAACTATCTGATTGGCTGGTGCTACACAGCCAAAGCTGTTTGTGGTGGGAAGGGCCGGGACTGGCTTGGCTTTCGGGACTGACTGACTGGCTAGCCTGTGTTTCTGGTTAAGGACAGCAATTATAAGGACACAAAAGTTATCTAAATTTCAGCTTGATGGTGTGGGACCCCAGGCAGAAGAGGAATTTTGGGCAAAGAGAGCTATTTCAACAGTACTATTATTGACTCTATTTTGTAGATTTGAAGAACTGCAGTCTTAGCAGTTAAGTGGCTTGCCCGAGTTCACATAGCTAGTACGTAGCAAAGCCAGGGTGTAATCTCGACCTAAAGGACTCTGAAATCCTCGCTCTTTACACATCTTGCTTTATCCCAGGAATAATGTGCTCACTGTATTCAGAAAATAAATTATGTTATACAAGCTTTAATGAGTAGCTACTACATGCTAAGGATGACACAGGAAAAAAAAAAAGATTTGGCCCCTGCCTTGAGGAGTCGGGAGAAGGAGCAAAAACAACAATATATTCTAAGAACTGTCAACCAAAGGAAGGTGGCAATAAACAAGGGCGCAATTGAAACACAAAGGGAAAATAATCATATTTATTATTTGATACAGATCTTATGCATTCCCGTTTGTACCACTGCTAGCTTCTAGTAAGGCAAAATATTGTTAGTCTAACAATTCAACACTGTCATAAATCACGGTAATTATTTAATAATAAGGCTCAAAATACTAAGCCATTCCCATATTACATAAATTTTCTAAAAATAATTCTTAATGCTATTTGATAAAAAAATACAGAAGACAAAAAAATTACCTTTTAATGGGCAAGACTGGGACAGGTCCTAACAGCATGTAGCACCCTGCTGTGATTAAGTTTCCAGAAACCAGAAACCATTTCCTTAGATGCTGGTAAAGAAAGGGAGCAAAGAAACTCTTAAAACCCACTATAAACAAAGAACATTAAATCACTGATGAACACAAGTCATGATGTTAAAAAATCTAAATGCATTGAAGAAAACAAAACTCTACATTTGAGAGAAAATAGGTAGACAGTAGACACAAAATCAAGCACAATGCACCCCAAGGCAGGGAATGTGCATAAACAAGGATTCCTTGGGAAGGGAGTGGATGGCAGATTTTGTGCATGATGAACTATTTCAAATATAACAATTTAAAAAGTAGTCACTACAAGGAAAAGGAACCACCCAGCAGGGAAACATCTAGAAAATTTACATCATTAAAAAAGTAGCCATTAAAAGTAGTCCTTATAAACTACCTGAATGCAGGCTAAACATTATAGGAGTATAATAGCTGCTCAGTTATACAAGACTATGTCTTAAAACCAAGCTTCAAACACTGTTTAAGACACTTGCTTTTCTTAATAATCTCCATGTATGGTAATTTACATCTCGATAAGTGTATATGCAAATCTAATAAAGAAGGAAAATGGAATAAATAGTAATAAGTCATGTAAGCTAAAGATCTGGTTAATAGCACTAGTTCTGTGTACTAGTTGTCTGGACTGGGTGGTTTTAGATCTAGTAAAAGAGGAGTAAAATGGACTTTCTGTCATGTTGGCCATGGGACAACCAATGCATATCGACACAGCCTTTCATTCCCACAGAAAAACTAAACTATCCCCTCGCAGTTTGATCAAATCCCTACACCTCTGGGGCTCCGCTCTAATTATTAAAGTCCATTTTTTTTCATTAAGGGAACTTTTTCCTCTTGAAAGTTTAATCCAATAGTTTTTCAACAAGACTCTTCTTTTCCCACATGGAGAAATTAACAGTGAACCTGCTCTGGGTGATGGCAGGTTGGACGTCACTAGAACCGCACACTGGCACCTCTTCATCAGCTCAAAACTGTGAACACATTAGAACTTAAATGTTCTCACCTCTCCCCAAAAAGATAAATACATACATGAGGTGATGGGTGTGTTAATCAGTAGACAGAGGGACTCCTTTCACAATATATGTGTGTGTGTGTATATATATATATATATATATATATATATATATATATATATATAACAACTCACCATGTTGTACACTTTAAATATCTTACGGTTTTGTCAATTATACCTCAATAAAGCTAAAGTTTAAAAAAGTGAAAAGTCAACTCTAATCAATGGACCTCTAGAGCTCTAGATGTACAGTTGGAAAACCACTGGTCTAAACGCACAAAAAGCAATTCTTAAATTTAAGTTAAGTGTACGTACTGGCCTTTTATCGCTTAGCAGACCGAAGAGTGGTGAAGAAATGGTGTAGGACAGTGCCAGGCCCAGGAATACCAGTCCCACATATCCAGCTGGTAAACTGAACTGTAAAAGAAATCTTGAATTAAAGCTACACAGTTACTTTGGAAATACATATCTGCTTTCTATCATCCCTTCAGCTCTTGTTATCTGCCATCGGTCTAGTAATAATACTCAGCACCCTTCCTAAATTTTGTCTTGATTTTGACAATGGATTACTTTTTCTCTGTGGCAGGAAACCTAACCAGAGTCAGATGTCCTAGATTTTTTGCTTTGTAGAATTTGATATTAGACATATAATTCTGCTTCTACAAATCATAGCTTTGTGCATGTAAATGGATGCTTTGCAAACTTATATAGTGTGCATAAAAAGTTACCGGGAGAACTTATTAAAAGAGGTTCTTGGGCCATAACCCTAGAATGTTTTATTCAAAAATGTCTAACAAGCAATCAGGTGGCTCTTACGATCCACAGACTGAGTGCACAGGTGTAAAAATCACTGAAATATTGTCTACTTTACCCATCTCAAAGGGATATTAATATCTATTTAAGTAGCTCAATAGTATATTTTAAAAGGCTTTTCAAACACTAACCTACCACATAACTTTGATAATATTACTGTTATTAACATAATAATAATTATGTTATATAAATGTTACTTATCTGAGTTGTTCTCATTTTCCTCAATTTCCTTAACTAATTTTCTTAATTGAACCTATGAGATTTATTTATAAGCACATTTTAACAATACTTATCACAGGTATTGACTCATGCTAAAAATCAGTCCTTTAAAGACAGGAGCAAGATACAAATGTCAGATGTGTCTTCTTCTGACATTACAACGTGGTGGAGACAGGGTCGAGCTCCTACCCTGAAAGGCTGGACAACCTCAACCACACAGCAAATCACCAATGGACTCAAACAATGGATAAGAAGTCAGAGGACAAACAAATTCACAGTGAAAAAGGAAAATAAAGATGTCTTTTTTAAATAAAGACATTCCTAAAGATGTCTTTTTTAAATAAAAGGTTAAATGAGTTCCTTTATATATTTTTTATTTTTATTGTTGTTCAAGTATGATTGTCTTCATTTTCCCCCCACGACTCCCCCCTCCCTCACCAAACCCATCCCCACCTCCCACCCTTGATCCTACCCCACTTCGGCTTTGTACACGTGTCCTTTCTACATGTTCCTTGATGACCCTTTCCCGTTTTCCCTCATTACCCCCAGCCCCCTCCCCTCTTCACACGCATGAGTTGGGTTTACTAGAGAATGGTTACACATTTTTTCCATTTTCTTAGATACCACTTCTTGTGGACAGAAAAATGACTCTTACAGAGACACACTGTTGATGTGAATGGAATGTGTCACCATAAACATAAACCACTTTTCTTACGTGTTACCACCTGAATGCTCATTGCTTATGCGTGATATTCTATTTATTCTCTATACCTTAGGCCATGCATTAAAATTATAGTCTCCAAGTGTATCTTTTTAGGTAGTTTACACACTCAAAACTGTCCTTAGTGACTTTAAGGGGTGTGTTTCTAGTAACGGTGCTTTTCAAATTCTATTGTTTCACCTAAAGTCAGTGTGGGCTGCAACTGATACATTTCTGCCTTACACACACATATTAATTCTCCAATATAACTACCAAGCTTGGTAATATACCTTATTGCATCATTAATAATCCTTTTTAAAAATCCTAGAAATCTAGGGACAAAATCCTATGATAACAAACTTTTAGAATTCAGCATTTGTTTCTCAGCACTAAACAGATGGAGAGGCTCTGGGTTTCTCTCTCCTATCTGATTAATACAGTCCATAGTCATTCAATGACATGCAAAAGCCTAAAAAGTAATGGACTCAAAGGGAATCTGTTTGAGAAGAAGGACACCTGACATTAAATAAGGCACTGGATACCCTGCACTCCCCATTGAAATTCAGACAGAGGAAGTGTCCTTGTTAAGCAGTCAGGATGATACGCAAGTCAGACCTATGATAATTCGAGTGCAGCATCAAAAAGAAGGAGCCAATGTTGGGGCCACTTAGTGAAAGGTTTGTTTCCTTTACACTGAATCAGACCACCAGTTATGGAGACATCAAATGGAGGTACAGACTACCCTGGTGTGCAGTTCTCACCTGGCCTCCTCCTCACAGCCCCCCAGAGAACTTCCCACCCAGCGGGGCCCAAGAGCAAACTATTATGTCCACTTCCTACCATGCAGAGCTCTTCAGCTATCAGGCTACTCACCTTCTTCAAAACAAAGAGAGACAGAGTAGGATCAAGGAAGCCAAAACAAGCGCTGAGTGAGTTGACGACGAAGGATATAAGGGCGACCTTGGGTAGCCTGATGAGTTTCCAGAACGAGTTTTCACTTGGATCTGACTCTTCGGGGTAAAAATGAAAAAGGAATTAGAGTAATTAAAATCACCTAACTATTATTTAACCTATGTTGAAAAGTAAAATTGGAAAGGCAATTATTATCTGGTAATCAAAGTAACTGCACCTCTCAGTTTGCCTAAATTGTTTATTACCTATATTTGTAGAAATTATTCAGACCTAGAGGCCACATTCAGTTTTCCTAAAAATAATGTCTGAGATTCAAAAAATGTCAACCAGAATGAGAGTTTTATGAGAAGGAGCCATCGGTTATCGGTTATAACCTAGAAGCATGTGTGGCCTTCCCCAGGTGGAATACGAATCTGTAAGGTTTAATTTGATGCCTGGGAAAAGCCAGATGCTTTATCAAGGAACAAAGTATGTATGCTGGGGAGGAATCTGAGTTCATCAAAGAACACAGAAGAATTTTTTCTCTATTAGCAAAGAAAACACTGGATTGAAAGGGGTGCTACTACTAAGTCATATGGAAATTACACTTGGCATTCATGGTCAGTTGAGGACCAGCCTCCCCTCCCACCATTCCCTCAGCTACGTCCCTGTTCCCAGTGCCAAGCATGGTTGTTTCTGAGCCTCTGGTCATACTCTGTGCCTCCTTTCATTTCTCCTCTGCTAATTTTTCAAATTCTATTCACTTTGTAAAGTCTAGCTCTGACCGTAATTATTCCACAAATTTTACCTTTCTCTTATTTCCTGCTATACTTCAAATCTATACATTTTATTTATATTTATTTTATTTTATTTTCATCTTTATTGTATTTTCCCATCACCAATTAGTCCCCTTACATCCCCCTGTCCCTAGCAGTCACCACACTGTTGCCCGTGTCCGTGAGTCCTTTTTCTTTTTTGCTCAGTCCCTCCACACCCTAACCTCCGCCCCCGCCACCACTAGCTGTCATCTGTCCTCCACCTTTGAGTCTGTCTCTGTTTCACTGTTAGATCAGTTTATTCATTAGATTCCATGTATGAGTGAGATCATATGGTATTTGTCTTTCTCTGACTGGCTTATTTCACTTAGCATAATGTTCTCCAGCTCCACCCATATTGTCATAAAGGATAAATTTTTCTTCTTTTTTACAGCCAAGTAGAATTCCATTTATACCATATATTTTAGCACCTAAGCTATATTTACTTTTTCACAGTTTACTGCTGTTTGATGACTTTTCTCGATTTCAATTAATTTACTAAACAAAATCTTTGCTGAGCCAGGTACAACGCAAAATGCTGGGCACACAAAGGCAAAGAGAACCAACTCAGACCCTGTCTTCAGAGAGAAGTAGAGGAAGGTAAGATGTAGCTAGGAGGGTGCCTATTGGGCACATGAGAGCACTTTCTTAAAACAAACAAACAAACAATCAACAACAAAAAACCCCACCAAGGAACACTATACAGCAAAGTCTTTCCAAAGGTAATATCTAAGTTGATGCCTAAAAGATAAGTTAGCGATGAGCAAGCAATGATGAGGAAAGCATACTCCAGGCATATTGTTCCAGGAATGGCACATTCCAAGACTCAGAAGTGAGGAAAAACTATCCTGTGTTTGCAGAAATGAAAGAAGAGAAAGTTGAAGGAGGAGATTGGCATGGGGGATATCTGTGCAGTGGGGAGAGATCATACAGCAGAAGTATGAGATGGATTATGCAGGACTTTGTAAAATATGCTAAGAAACCTGAGAAACTCTAGGGATTTCGAACAAGGGGTAAGAGTCAGATCTGTGGTTCAGAGAGACCTCTCTGTGGCCTTGTGGAGAATGGAGACAGACACCAGTCAGGAGCCTGTGGCAGCGGCCCCGGCCACAGGTAGAACTGGCCAAGTCTGGATGAGGAAGGTCTCTGAGAGCCAGGAGCAGCACTTGTATATCTCATTTCTCCTTTGGCACCCAGCACAGTTCATTACTCAGTCAATTCTTGTCGAATAATGATCCAGTATGGAGCAAAGTACAAAAAAACACAAAGAGTAGTTTGACTGTTTTAAGAGGTTCATTTAGACTTTGTCAGCATATGGGGGATAAAGTTAAACTGTAGCGTTAGTTTTTTAATTATCAGCCAAATTTTCAATTGTAAACCAAATCTGAGCACAGCCCAGAAGTTCAGCTGCTGAAGGACCCTGTGTAGTTAGACCAAAGAGGCCAAGCACCACTGCGTGGCTCAGTGTGGTAGCGTCAGCATGGAGAAGACTTGGTGTGGATTCTGACTTCTACATTAAAGATGTTTATTAGTCACCTTTAAGATATAAAATATAAAAGATCAACTTTAACCAGTTATACTTACTATGCATATAAAAGGCAGTATAGATTGATGGAATAAGACAAAATGATCTGGCACAAATGGTTCCCTTCTCTAAATCCAAAGTGTGAAAAGGGGTCATCAGAATAGTAAGAATGTCCATGAAAACAAACGTACAATGAGTTGAATTAGGCTGTTGAAGAAACTCAGGTCATGGAAACCCAGGATGATATCTGCTTTAAGAGACACACAGAGGAATCTCCTGGGAAGATCTTCCCAGCTGCTTGGGTACTCTCTCTGCTCCCCCCATTCCAGATACATTCTTCTTAGAAGGCTAAGCTGCACAGACAAATCCAAGGACACGGGGGGAGGAAGGTGTGGCCATGCCCTCCTGCCTTCACAGCCTTCTGAGAAGATGGAGCCATGTGCAGTGCATGGTAACTTGTCATTCTCAATATTTAAGTCCACAGTGACCACTGGAGGGCACTGCATATGGTGATGTTTTATGATGAGGATTAAGTATTTGCTGGTTCTCAAGGTCAGAAAAGGTCTGATACACAGAAATGTATATAAACTGCCCTGGCTGGTGTAGCTCAGTGGATTGAGCACGGGCCTGCAAACCAAAGGATCACGGTTCGATTCCCAGTCAGGGCACATGCCTGGGTTGCGGGCCAGTTCCCAGTGGGAGACCCATGAGAGGCAACCATACATTGATGTTTCTCTCCTTCTCTCCTTCCCTTCCCCTCTAAAGATAAATAAAATCTAAAAAAAAGAGAAATGTATATAAACCGATGCCTTGCAGGATATTTCTGAAAATAGAACCAGTTATTTCAGGGTGCTCTAAAAACGTACTATTGGTTATATAAAATAAAAGTGAGTATGTGTTAAATCGGTCTCCTACAAAGGCATGCAAATACTTAAACTTAAGGTTCTTAAAATGAGTAATAAATGTAGTCTTACCATAATTAGGTAAAATGTACATGTAGAGTGGTACCATCAGCAAAATTATGCATCCCAGAGAAATAAAAGGCACCTCATAGCCGAAGGACTGATACAAGAAGCCGCCTAAAGGAGGCCCTAGCACCAGCCCCAGTCCAGAAAAAATCTCAAGACTTCCCTACAAACGGGAAACAAAAAGATTGAGTTAATATATTTTCTATAAAAAATTAACAAATAAAGATTTAATAGGACGATCTGAAAAAATTCTGCCCACTTCAAAATACACACACGCATACATGCAAGCTTAAAGCAGACACAAAATTTAAACATGCATATTGATATCATAAAAGTACTAAAAAATAAATATGGAGCTTTTTTGGTTCTTTAATCCTTATGGTAGGAAACATTTTCTAATGATGACACAAAAACTTCGGAAACACAAAAGAAAAGAATGATCAATCTGGTTACATAAAAATAAGAAAAACTATGCATGGCAAAACGCATCATAAGACAAAGAATAGAGAAAAAATACTGACAAAGAACTAATTTCCCAAATATATCAAGAGAGAAAAAATACTGCTAATCAATGAGAAAAAAATGAACAATGTAATAGGGAAATAGGCAAATGCTATAAAGAGACTGTTGATGCATAAAATGAAATACAGAGCTCTTAGGCAGATAAAAAGAAGCCCATCTTCACTTTTCAAAGAAATGAACACTGAAATGAACAATGTTTACCTATCGCCTGTCCAACTCTCTATACTGTCAAGAATTTGAGGAAAGAAGCACCCTTGGGCACTGCTGGTGAGTGCCTGCCACAGGGCAATCTGGCAGATCAGTCATTACAAACACACACATTCTCTGACCAAGAATGCCACTTCTGGGAATTAAACTTCCAGGTACAGCTGTAAAGATGCCATGTGCTATATGTACAAGCTTACGTCTGTAGCATTATTTGCAAGAGCAAAAGATCTAAACAATGTAGATATTCATCAAATTAAATAAACTAAGTTATAGCCATACATACAGTGAAGGACTATATAGCCATTAAAGAGTAGCAAAGAGCAAGGAACTTTTCATGTATAGATACAGAAAGATCTCAAAGATAATTTCAATGTCCGTGTAATAAGTAAGAGAGAGTAGGCTATCACAGCTGCAGAGAAAATGGAAGGAGTCATGCTGTCTGCGTGTGTGTATGTGAACACACAGAATCACTGGGGAAGAAACCTGTAATGATGTTGCCTTCTGGAAGGGCAATGCTGGCCTGGGTACCTGGTCAACAGGTGTGTCTATGAAGGTTGGGTAATAGTAATGTGTACGAATGTATAGGAATAGTAATGTGTATAATGTATTATATTTCCTTTTGAATTTTGTACCATATACAATCATTTTCTTAAAATTAAAATAAATGAAACAATGCTATGGAAAAATAGTTGTCTATTGCAGAAGTCTTACAGAAACTGCACCATTTTAAATCAACCTAGTTTAGAGGCTGTAAACAAAGACTTGTGGCTTGCAACCTAATATCCTCACACCTCACAGAGACACAAAACTAGTCCATTAATAACTTTCGACATTTCATAAAGAATGTAGGAATTCTACACTTTATCATGATAATGTTATCCAGATCAACTTCCGTGTTAGGTAGCTATCTTTTGGCTGCAATTTCATATAGAAAGTTGGTGTGTCAACACTGTTTTCCCCTGTTGATTAGAAGGACTGTTGGATCATAGAAATTTCTCAAGCAGCATTTTCTGAAGCATTCTGCCAAATACCAGTTCTTTGAGAGTCTTTAAGAAAAAGAGGTTGCATAGTCAAATTGAGTTGTGGAACATTAAATAAACTATCTCCACTATAGAATTTCTCGGTCTTAACACACTCTATATGCACAATGAAACATGGTTAGCCACAAAACCTTGTTTTATGGACCACGTCAACAGACTAGTCTTCTGAATTCTTTCTGAGGAACATACTCCTAGGAAATGTAAACAATGTACCTGTCACCCTGGCCGCGACCACATGCCAAACGGCTACAGAACAAGCCTATCCTAAAATCAACATATCCAGCTACATATGTTGGATTTTATATACATAAAATTAAAAGTGGAAGAACCATCTACACAGCAAATAGTTTATTTAATGGTCAAAACTTCTAAACATAAATTAATATGGATTAATGAGGGAGTCTTTGGAACTAAGCTGATTAGACCTGAGGTCTGGAGGACAATTATATGCTCTGAGGTGACATCTGGTCTCTGGACAGACCCGGGTTCTTCAGAGATGTGTGGGTCCAAGACGAGAGCTACAAGAAAGCCTGCCTGGGGTCAGGGAGGCAGAAGCCAAGAGCTGAGACGGGAATCTGGTATGTCCCTAACACCAGATCTCTAAGAACTTAGGCAATACTTGAGAAGTACATCAATACCAGTGTCTGGGTTTTTATGGCAAAATCAGAGGGTATTCCACAGACAGATAGCACAAAGTGACTTGTGAATTTCAAGATGGTCTTTAAGATCTCTCCCATGAATCTGGGAAAAGTGGAGGAAGGACTGTAGGACAAATGAAATGTTTGGCCACTAGCCCACTAGAGATAACCCTTTTCTTAAGGAGAGGAATGCTTCAGGCAGCTAAGCCTCAACCTTGGCTACAGAGTGACAGCAAAATACTACTATGAGGGTATCTTTTAATAAAAAACAAAAATGAGTCCTGGCTGGTATGGCTCAGTGGATTGAGCACTGGCCTGTGAACTGGAAGATCACAGGTTTGATTCCCTGTCAGGGCACATCCCCGGATGTGGGCCAGGTCCCCTGTTGAGGGTGCATGACAGACAACCAATCAGTGTTTCTCTCCCTCTCTCTATCTCCCTCCCTTCACCTCTCTCTAAAAATAAATAAAAATTTAAAAAAACCAAAGTGATAAAAAGAATATTTGGCTTGGACTATATTTACCTGTCAAACTGCTCATTCGGGGGATTGTAAGCCCAGAAAGAGACCTGAGTAAGATTAATGGCACATTTATTGACAGCCTCCTGCTGGAAGTACAAGCACAGACTGTAGAAAAAAGCAGGTCTACGAAAGTGAACCCCAGCTTTAACTTGGACGGTAAAACAAATATTTTAACCTATACTAAAAATAGAATAGCAAAAATTCATAAAATACATACCAGTACTGTGGCTACATTATTTGGGAAAGTCTTCGTGAGGATAGAAAAAGATGCTGTGATTGCTGCAGCAAAGCCTATTGCATCTGTTATTCTCACTAGAAAACACAGAGCAATGTACACTGGTCCTTCTGGAACTCGGTCCAACACACTGAAAGAGAACAGGGCGAGTCTCAAATGCCGAGCTGTGTTTTTCCCTTTCCTTTCTAACAGTGCTCGTTGAAAAGAGCAGTACCTCACCCACGCCACACACGACTCACCCAAAGAGAACTGTAACTCCTCCTGAGACAAACATTCCTGCTACAAACATAAATTTTGCTCCAATATGTACAAGCTATAATAAATATCAAAAGAGAGTGGGAAATTTATGACAGCCACAAGTCTGCATTGACATAAACAAATCCACTGTATCAGGAAATATATAATTTTGGAAAGATAGGAACAGTTACCTTAATTATTATTTATTTTTTAATAAATAAATAGATTGATTAAGTTTTCTATTGTATTTTTCCCACCACTGTTCAGTCCCCTGATACCCCCTTTCCCCTGCAATCACCACACTGCTGTCCATGTCCATGGACAACAACGTGTACATGGGCGTGTTGTCCACATCCTTTATCTTTTTTGCCTAAGCCCTCCACTCTCTACCCTCCTCTCCACCACAATATTTAATAGCATAAAAACATACATCTCTTAAAACATGAAAGAAGTTAAAAATCAAGCAACCAATCAATCAACCCTAAGAATGAAACTGTCACAGTGGCACAATTCATAAAGCATAATGGTTTCAGTATCAATGGAAATTCTACTAATAAGTTAGAACAACTCATTATCTATATATTTTAAATTAAAATGTTCATGTGAACCTCAATACTTACATATTTTCCAAATAACAAAGAGGCTAGCAATTCGAACAAAGCATAACATCCAAAGATCATACCAATAACTGTGTTGCTGGCTCCTTTCTTTTCAGCCTTTAAAGAAATTGAAAAGGAAACAAGTTTGAAAGACAAATTAGAATCAATGTAAAAAATGGAGCTATTAGACGAGAGCATTATCTTCTTATAACTTTTATTTGTGTAACAATTTCAAAAATTATTGTTCTAATATAAACAGGATGGTAAAGTAAGAGAAACTACTAAAATCTAGTCTTTGACATGAAAATAATTCATTCACCATGCTCATAAAGAATTGTTAGCTTTCCAATATTGAGAAAAAGAACAAAGTTGAAGGTATCATACTTCCTAACTTCAAAAGTAAATATAAAAGCTACAGTAATTAAAACAGTATGGCTTTGGCATAAAGACAGACTGATAGATCAATGGAGCAGAATAGAGAGCCCAGAAAACCCCACACACACATTATGGTTCATTGATCTTTCATAAAAGTGCCAAGGACACATGGAAAAACATTCTCTTCAAGAACTGGTGATGTTAAAATTGGATATCCATGTGAAACAGGATTAAATTGAACCCTTATTTTATAGCATTCACAAAATCAACTCAAAACAAATTAAAGACTTAAACATAAGACTTAAAACACTTAAACTCCTGGAAAAGAACATAGAGAACTTCTCACTGACCAAATCTTTGGCAGGCATGGAAGGATCTTTGCATTCTAATTCCAACCAGCCTCCTCAGATCGCCTGCTTCCCCCCAGGCCTGTCAGGCCCAAGCCTCACCAACTTGGCTGCTGCTCCGCAGGAACACGGAGTTTACTGTGCTAATCCTGTGACTATCTCCAGCTGTTTCCTAGAGCACCCCAGCCTCTGTTGTTCATCTGGAGACCTGTCATTTCTCAAGACCCACCTTGGATTTATCCTACGAAGTCCCATTCAGCACCACCCCTTCTTGACCTTCCCTCCATACCCCCATCCGCATTCATGGTAAAATTAACCAATTCTTCCTCTAGAGTCTCATAACGTTTTGGAAATCCTCTCCCTAAAATATGTCCAAATACTCTGCAATGTTTTTTCATATTTTTTCACTCCCAATGGACAGACAAAAGAGGGACATTTTCCTGATCCTTTTTCTGACCTAGTATCCAAAGTCATTCAGCCTCCCACTCCCTCTCAGTGAACAGGACTAAATCGGGTCAGCCAGTTTTCTGAGTCTGTTTCTTCATTTACAACATGATGAAAATCTTCCTACTCTGCCTATCTTATGGAGTAGCTGCAGAGACGAACAGGGATAACTGGGAAAGTACACTGAAAATGAAACATCACTGTCTGGGAACAGGGTTGCATTGGTCTTTAGCAGAGAAGCCATTTTCATCATCTTTTGTTGACAATGAATGAAGGCCACATTTCATCAAAGCAATTAGAGGAACTGGGGGGCCAGTGCACCAAGGCTTTGGCAAAGGACTAGGTGTGAAACATATGGCCACGTTATGTCCACTCATTGCCATTCCTTTCACACTATGTCCTATCAACCTCCAGATTCCAGGGGGTTTTCCTTTTGAGTCTGTGCCATTAACTATAGACCCTAACACCATATGAAAGGCTATGGTTAGAAAGAACTAGTCAAGATTAATGAGAATTCTTGCTTGGCACAAACACTGCCTCTCAATTTCATAAGACATTCATGTCAGAAAAGGAAATTTAGTGGACCATCGCTTCCTTTACTGTCTTAGCATGGACCTCTTGTAGTAACATTAAAATCTGTTATTCAGTGCAGCCCCCTTTTTAAATAGCAGTAGGCAAATAAAAGTTAATCAAACTACACAGTAAGCAAAGAAGGTCAATTATATTTAGGTGAATTATCTCCCAGGATGATGTTCTGTTTGACTGGATCTTCTTTTTTTGGTGCCTAATATTCTGTAGGAAGTCTTCTGTTGGCTGAAGTTCTATACATCATCTTTACTATATGCACATCTTCACATTTTACATATTATAAAAGTAAATGATTCAAAATATTTTAAGTAATTAAGAGTTCATGAGGATATAACAATGTCTCACCTCCTTGGGGAAAAAGGGTCCAAGGATAGAATAAAACATCATAGAGCCTAAGTTAAGGGAGGCTGCCGATACCAGTGCAAAAATCTGTTCTCTCGAAAGCCAGCTGGGTGCCTGTCTTGCATTTTCCATAGGACCATCACCTTAAATGCAAACAGACTGTAGTTATAGGCATGCAATTGGAACTACTGATCCAAGTACACAAATGTCACTTCTATGCACAGACTGTGGACTCTAAAGACAACATTTACTGAGCTAGGGGCCATTTTCCATATAGCACATGTGATCAAATGTAACATAATCCTTGTACATCACTGCAGTTTTGACAACATTCCACTTTCATTGATGTAGTGTTTGTTCCCTGTTAGAATTTCAGTGCAGAATTTATCAGCCCACCTTCTCTGTTTTGCCTTCACCATGAGGCCTATTTCTTTCACCCTGAATAAATTCAAGAAGGATGAGTTTACAGGGTGCTGTCTGAGGGGTACCGGTCTCTGAAATACAATGTAATTTCTCAAGTTACTAGCTTCATCTGCTACGTGAACTCAATAATGTTTTAGGCATGTGATGTTAGCTGTTTATTAAGCATTCTAGGGCAGCGTGTAAGTGAAGTGTAAGGAGAAAAACGAACTAAAGCTTTCAGTTGCTGAATAATTACTTACATGGTATGCCCTGGAAAGACAAGTCCCACAAACCTGTAAATCAGTACTTTTTTTTAAAAGTACTAATTACAGGCCTTTTGTATCAATTAATTTGATACTTATTCCAAGGGCTAAATTTTCATTTAATTTAAAAACACCAGGTCAATTACCCAGTTTCAAACATCCAATAAATCTATCAGCCACTGTTAAATTAAATGGTTTGGAGATTAAGTAAGAAAACCATGTTTGCTTTGCTTGATTTTCCCGTTTGACATTGCAGTGCCAGTGAAAAAAATCTGTGCAAAATGAGGAAGTCGAGAATCTTTGTAAACACTGTGTAGTACAGTAGAAAGGGAACTGAAAGTTAAAGAGCGGGGAACAACGGTGAGGCAGCCAAATGTAATGCTTTCCGTCTGTCCAATGGCATGCTTACTAAAATGCATTCCTTAACACAGTACTTAAAAGCAGAGCTAAAGGGAAGAAAGTAGAGACCGCACCAAGGCTAGTGTCGGAACCGAACCCCCTTAAGGGTTTCGCTGACCCAAAACCTACAGTTATTCCCCAGCTTTTTCGATTGTCTCGAAAACAAAACAAGCTAATTCAATTGTTGACTTAGAGACAGGACTCAAGCCACGCTGCCCGTGCGCCCGCGCCCCTCTCGGTCACCTCCTGGGGCACGTGGGCCCTCGGGGTCCCCGGGCGCGTCCATGCGCGGCGCGCGAATTCTGGAGCCGTCGCTCTCCGGTCGCTGCCTGCGCTGGGACTCCAACTCCGACGCGAGGACAGTGGGAGACCAGTGTGGCCTGCGGAGGCCGTTTGGCCGCGACCCGACATCGCAGTCGCCCGCAGGCAGCGCTCAGCTCAGCTCCAGGCAGTATCCTAGGCGCTCCTGCTGGAGGGGCAGGGCCTTTCTTATTTAAAGACACAGGCGATTATCATACTCCACTCTCTGCAATATGCTGCATGCTTTCATCCTGTGTAAGAAAAAACTGGGAAGGACAATCTATATTCCATATGGTAGACCCCTACTTTAAAATCAGTAAAATGTATTCCTACTAAAAGTAAGAAAGGACATTTATGTGGACACAAAAGGTAGAGTACCTAACGTGAAAAATACAAATATGAATCAGGAAATTAAGTTCATACTGATGCTTTTTAAAGAGTGGGTTATTTTTCACCGTGAGTGAATTATGTACTGTTGTAATCATGGAGGCCAGACATTAGTAAACTAGAAAGGAATGAACTGATGTGAAGTACCAGGAACAGAACATTGTAATTGCAAAAATTACAATGAACGTTGAGGAAACAGGGCGGAGTGGCTGGGAATAGGACCTGGTTTGTGACTTTGGGTGGCCAGGTCAGTTTCTCCACCCGTACAGCGGGGATGATATTGCCCGCCTTGTAGGCTGGCTGTGGGCCCTCGTGATAGGTAAGGTGTGTGGGGTGCCTGGTACTTGAATGTGACAGCTGTTCCCTTACACTCGCCCTCAACATTCTGGCACAAAAATAGAGGTGTCACTCTTTCTTCACCTTACTTGCTGTTTGGGAAAGGGTAAAGGTTGTGAACTGAGAAATTCTTGGTTGTGGACCAAGTTACAACAAAAGACTGTTGAGTTACCACCATTGTGACTTGGAAGATTAATGAGCCCCACTATCAATTCTGCCCTCAAAGAGCACACCTCTTTCTAGGAGATAAAAGAGACACCGGTTAGTAATGGATTCTAATGTACTGAGTTCTATAACATATTGGAAGAACTGTTTACTTTGGCTAAATGAGTCCAGGATGGCTTCCCTAGTCAATGATGTTACCTTGGGTCTTGAATATTATGTAAAAATTTCTGGGCAGGTTCATTGACAGCCATTCTACACAGGATTAGCTGTAGCAAAGCTTCCTTAAAGCAACCCTCCAGAAGCATTATGATTTAACTCTGTACATTTCTCCAGTCTCGTTCTATTTTACCTTCTCTCTCCAGTCTAACTTCTAACCATACAGGAGAATTACCTTGAATTATTTCTCTGTTGTTTACATTCCCTTCTTTGTTCTCTAATTCTGGACTGTTTTTTTTATACACATATCGGGTCTCCTAGACCGGTCCTCTTATTTATTACTCCTTTTCTCTTCTACTTTTTACCTCTTTCTCTTTTTTGCTCCATCTTATAGCAAGTTTCCTCAACTTTACCTTTCAAACTTTTCACCGAATTTTTCATTTCTGCTGTCATTTATTTCCCTCTGTCTGCATTCCCATTCCCCTCCCCATCAGCAATCTTTCTTGCATGTTGACTACAGATAGACCTTTTTGTTTATATATATTTTCATGAAATTTATATTCTTGCTTGCTGTCCATCTATTTTCAATTTACACAAAGGGTACTGTGACATATATATACATATTCTTATCTTCCTCCCCACTTCTAATCTCTACCTTCCTTCCTCCCTCCAGATGATGAGGGTTACAGTTGAAAACATTATTGTGTTAGTTTTCCGTAGCTGCTGTAATAATTTACCACAAACTTGGTAACTTAAAACAACACATTCCTATAGGCCTGAAGTTCAATAGTAATTTCACTAAGCCAAAACCCAAAATGATATCCTCATCTCAAGATCTGTAACTAAATCACATTTACATGGATTATTTTCCCAAATAAGGTAACATTTGAAGTTCCTGAGATTGGGAAAGTGGCCATATCTTCAAAAGCTATTATCCTCCTGCCGCAATAATCTATTCGCATTATTCTTTGTTCATCCGGACATAGATACACATATTGAATTTAGTTTCACAAATTAAAATGGAATAATACAGTGTGTTCAAATGCCGCTTCCTCATTCTTTCCTCTTTATCCAAAATGCAGCCTTAGTCACCCTTTGTTCCTTCACCCTTCTTTATTTTTCTTCCTAGTATCGGTATCACTCATGGTTCCCCGTTGTTAACAAAAGGAACCACTTTTGCTAATTTAAGCAGAAAAGGAACGTGTCATAGATTATCAGGTAGCACACAGGACCGTCAGGAGGACCATACACACCACTGACAGGCTACGTGCCTAAAATCACACCGTGGAAGTGGTCCAGCACACACACCTGGGCACCACCGCCGGACACACGCCTGCAGCGCGTGATGCCAAAGCAGTTAAGCACAAGCCCTAGCAGTTACAACCTTGTCCCCAGTCTGCTGGAACATGGCCACCCTCAGCTGAGGGATTTTGGTGGGTACCAGCTTCTTCCACTGGCTGGGCTTTCAGCACATAAGCTAGGAAGAGAAAATTCACCAACTTCGTTTTTCTTTTTCAAGAACAATCTGACTATTCTGGGTCCTTTGAATTTCTGCAAAAATGCTGGAATCATTTCTCAATTCCTCCAAAATACCTGGTGGCATTCTCATTGCAATTTTGTTGAGTCTGTAGATCAATTAAGGCAGAACTGACATCCAGTCACTATTAAGTTTTCAATATTCAGTTTTTTAAGTAGTGAACATGGTCTATTTCTCCATTTATGTAGATATTCTTTCATGTCTTTCAGAAATGATTTGCAGTGCTCATTGTAGAGGTATTACATGTTTTGTGCCAAATTTATTCCTAAATATCTTGGTTTTAGAACCTATTAAAATGAAATTTGTACATTTAAATTCTCAATCTTTTGCTGATTGTATATAAAAGTAAGATAATTTTATGTTCATCTTGTATCTTGCAAACATGTAAATTCCTTCATTAGTTCTAATAGTTGTTTTATAGATTCTTTTAGATTTTCTACATGGACAATCATGCCATCTATGAATTTTACTTCTTCCTGTCTGCATTATATGCTTTTATTTCTTTCACTTACTTTATTTTCACTTATTGGATGATAAAATAAACAGAAGTGATGAGAATAGAGATCCCTGCTTTTTCCCAATCTTCGGGACAAAACATTTGGTCCTCCACCATTAAGTATGAGGTTAGCTATGGGTTATTCACGCGTGCATTTATCAAATTCAGGAAATTCCCTCTATTCCTAATATGCTGAGACATTTTAAACATGATTTGACATTGACTTTATCAAACATTTTTCTGTATTTATTGAAAAAAATTTTCCTTATTCTGTTAGTATGATGAATTTTACTGATCAATTTTCTAATGTTAACACAACCTTGCATTCTTGGAATAAACTCAACTTGGTCAAGACAGTATTATTTTCATATAATGTGAGTTCAATTCGCTAATATCTTGTTAAGGATTTTTATGTATGATTATGTGTAATGTTGATCTGTAATTTTCTTTTGTCAGATTTTGGTAGCAGGGTAATTCTCTCCTCCTGTACTTTTTTTTTTTTTTTTGGTGAGTTTGTATAAGATTGGTATTGTTTTTTTCCCTTAAAGGTCTAGTAGAATTCACCAGTGAAACTATCTTCCTTCTACTTTTTGTCATTTACTTTGCTCTTATTTTTTAAGTTTGGGGAGCTTATGTCATTGATTTTAGCCCTTTCTTCTTTTCTGCTATTAGCATTTAAGCCTTTAATTTTTCCTCTAAACACTGCTTTACTATATCCCACAAATTATCATTTGGTTTGAAGTACTTTCTAATTTCCCATTTTTTCCCTTCTTTTACCCATAAGAAAAGCATGTTGCTAATTTCCAATTATTTGGGGATTTTCCAAATATATTTATAATACTGACTTCTAATTTAATTCTATCATGGAAGATTTCTATTCTGGAAGATTTTAATCTTTTAAAATTTTATGAAACTTGTTTTATTTCCTAGCAAATGTCTTTGTGAACAGTACCACACATACTTGAAAATAAGTATATTTTATAGTTGTTGGGATAGTATTCTCTAAAAAACAATTAGGTCAAAGCGATAGTTTTGTTAATATCTTCTGTGACTTACTTATTTTGTCTCACTGTTCTAGCAATTGCTGAGAGAAGGTGTTCCAATATCCAACTATGATTTTGGATTTGTTTATTATATAATTTAATTCTAGGTGTACGTCTGTGTGTGTATGATTGTTATCTCTCCCCAATAAACTTACTCACTGGTTACTGTGACACACGTCTATCACTAGTAATACTCTTGAAGTGTCCTTTGTCTGATAGGAACATTTATTGGTTACGTGGCATATCTTTTCCAATCCTTTTAGCTTTAATCTATTTGCTGTAGCTATCTCTGAATTATTACTTAGTGACTATTTGGGAATTATAATAGACATTCCTCACTTTCCTAGTCTAGTTAGAGTTAATATTGTAGCACTTCATATGAAACGTACGAGCCCCGTGACCGTGTGGGTCCACTTACCAAGCACTTTCTCTGATCATTTACGCTTTAGTTTTCACATCTACAAGTGACATAAAGTCCATAATGAAGTGTTATAACTTTCACTTCAAATAATCATGTTTTTAATTAAGAAAAAGTATTTTAAGTTTACTTACATATATACCACTTCCAGTGTTTTTATTCTTTCCAGATCTGCATTTTACATTTGATATCATTTTAATATTAATAACGTTCTGTAAGATTTCTTCAAGTGTAGATCTTCTGGCGATGAATTCTGTTAGTTTTTGTTTATCTCTGAATGTCTTTATTTTGTCTTTATCTTGAGAAATCTTTTTATTAGATATAGAAATATGGGTAGAGAGTTATCCTTTCAGCCCTTTCAAAACCTGGTTCTTTGGCCCCTATCATGTCTAAAGAGAAATCAGTATAATTTGCATTATTGTTCTCCTGTATGTTAACGCCCCCCCCCTTTTTTTTCTGCCTGCTTTTGGAATTTTCTCTTTAACTTTGAGCACTTCACTTATGATAGGCCTTGGTTTGTGTGTTTGTATTTATACTTCTTGGGGTTCACTTATCCTCTTGAATCTGTGAATTTATGTGTTTCATTAAATTTTGGAAGCTTTTGGATATTATTTTGTTAAATTTTTTTTCTATCTTATTTTTCCTGGCATTCCGATTGCAATTATGTTAGAACTATATACTTATTTACATATACATTCGGTCTTTTAATTTTGTACCACAGATTGTTGCAGTTTTATTCATTTTTTCAATTTTTTTCTTTGTTCTTCAAGTTGGATAATTTCATATTTATCTAGCTTGAACTGGACTGTCTTTCTTTGTTGTCTCCAATCAACTGCTAGCCCTTTCAGTGATTTTTTTTTTGTTTCTCATATTTTATGTTTTCTCAACTTTCTATTTGGTCCTTTTTTATAATTTCTTAAATTTTTTTTAATAATTTCTATCTTTCCTATTCATTCATGGAGAATTTTTTTTTAACATTCTCGAGCAACCCTGCAGACCCCTTAATCACAGGCACTTGCCTTCAAAACTGTGAGACAACAACTCTCTGTGGTTTAAGCCACCCAGCTTGTGATATTTTTGTTCTGGCAGCCCCAACAAGCTAACACACAACTGTACTTAGATGATACAGAAACCCAGATTTCAACTGCTTCCTCTTTTTCTGTCTAATGCTGCAATATCCCCTTTCTCCACCTAGGCATCTTTTTTTTTTTTTTTTTAGCACCATGAGGTAGATTCAGTTGTATTATCGACAAACATAAGATGTAAAGAGTTTTTCTTAAATTCTCAGTGGTCTCTCACCCACATTTGGGCAATCATTCATGGCTGAAAGTTTAGAAGCATGAGCTTCGAAGGCCACTGGATTCAAATACGAGCTTTATTTACTGGCCGTGAGACTTTGGGCAACTCGCTAAGCCTTGGTTTGTCTGTTAGAGGGGGCTAATACCACCACCACCACATAGGGTCTCTATGATGCTCAAGGGAGAAAATATGTGATAATAAATGTGCACATTGACTAGTGCATAGGAAGTGCTAAATAAAATTATCTACTATTTTTTATTTTTCCTAAAACGAACTTTAAAATTTATTTATTTTTATATGTATTTTAGATAAATTTTCTGCTGGTATTAGACTGAGTCTAGCCATTAGCCTCTATTTAGTAGTCCTTCACCTTTGGCTACATCTAAAATTGGGCAGAGGTAACCTTAAAGAAACAAACTAGGAGAATCCACATTAAAGAAGGGGAAGGGTTTAGAGGAACAACTATAAAGGACACATGGACAAAAACTATGGGGGGTGGAAAGGGGAGGGAGGTGGGGAGGACTGAGTGGGGTGGGCTGGGATGGGAGTAAAAGACAGAAAACTGTGCTTGAACAATTAAAATAAAAAAATAAAAATAAAGGAGCCTCGACCGCCCACTGTGCCCTTTAACTTCACTTCTGGGATTAGAACCCATTATACAACTAGGCCTTTTTTTTTTTTTAATCCTTACCTGAAGGCATGTTTATTGATTCTAAAGAAAGGGGAAGGGAGGGAGAGAAAAAGGGTGAAAAATCATGCTTCAACAAGGACCAAACCGGCAAGGTAGGTATGTGTCCTAACCAGAAATTCAACCCATGACCTTTCGGTTTACAGGACTATGCCCCAACCAACTGAGCCAGGCTGGCCAGGGCCTAACTAGGATTTTTTTCTTAAGTGTAGCTCCAGGTCTAAAGGGGGAGGTTTACAATCGGTAGAAAAGGTATTTATAACATGAAATATCAAGGCACAGGCCCATGACACATGTGTTTACAAAACAAATTATGAGCTGCTAGAACACTAACCATAGTGTAAGCCCAAGGGTACTTAATCATTTTCCCCTATGTAAACTTGTTCTTTGGCAATGATTACTTTCCCCATTTATATTTCCCGAGTCTTTACCAGATTCCATGGCTCCTTCCTAATATCTTAGGGGGTGGGAAGTCTACTATATGCTCAGCATATTAATTTGTAGGAACTTCAGATAATGAGGAACTTGTTGGCATGCTATTTAGCACATTCTCTTTCAAAAATACCAATGTATTGTAACTTCCAAAAAAGGCAAGGAGGCATCAGTATTTTTGCCCATCCTCTTTCCTCCACTCGGAATGCCCTGCTTTTTCCTCTCTCTCATCCTCCTGTTGGAATCCTTTCAGATTTTTGTTTTTATTTATCTATGTTAGCCCATTTCAAGTGCTACCACAAGTGCAGTCTTCCTTAGCTTCCCACATCATTCTCTCTCTCCAAAGTCCATGCTACTTTGTGCCTCCCCCATGGCCTGCAGATATTCTACTAATATTTGACTGAAATCGTCACCGCACCACAAGCATGAGAGGGATAGGAATGAATCTCATTTTTATAAACGCTGCAGCTTTTTAAAAAATTAACCATTGAACAACTAATTAAGATGACACGTTTTTAGGATGAGTTTTGAATGGCAAGAAGCAGATTCAACACTTTTCAAAATGAAAATTTGAAAGCGTTTAAAAAGCTAACAATGAACTATAACGACTTAATCGAAATTCCAGTATATGTTACCCGTTTTTGCTTCCTTCAGGGAACTCAGTCTGACATTAACTGTTTGCTGTTGACTATAATATGACCAGGATGTATCAAACGCTTGACGATTGCTGTCTGGCTTGGCGACTTGTCAGGAGAGGAAGTTAAAACAAAAGGAGAAAACTGTAACGGGAAAACTGTCCTGACTAAATTCGTCTATATTTAATGTATTTTAGTTGAAAATGTGGGTGGGAGAATGGCTCATCTCTGCAAAATTGAAAAAGTTGCTTCCAGGCAAAGTCAGAATTTAGGGTTGTCGGATTCACTCCGAACAACCAGTCCTGGATGGCGAAATTAATGCCGGATTTCTCAAAGGCTACCTTTCTCGCCCCATATTAACAGACCCTATTCTTATGTCAGATACATTGTGTTTTACGTAGACCTATCGAATCCCTATTTGAGCGAGACAACGGATTAAGGGAATAATTTAGCGTTAAGAAAAGAAAAAGAACTTCAGCGGGGACCAAGGAGTTGGGGAGAAACAGAACAACCACGTGGCTTAAGTTTCCACTTTACTAATCGTCGTTGGGAAAGTGGAATTTGCAACGTGCTTAGTTAGAAGTCGTGAAAAGGTGTGGACTTTCATGAACACGCCTACACACGGACAATAATCACCCAGAATGACACAGTCACGGACATCCAGACTGACTTGAGAGAGTGCCATTCAGGAAGGCGCAGATACTGGAGTCCACAGGAATTACAAGATTTTGTCTTCAAAGTTAAAACTGGCGCTCTATTGCAGCCAAGATTGCAGGGATCTTACAAGACTTAGCCCAAGTGCTCTCGTGACTTGGCCGTTCTCGCGCTCCGTAGAATGGCTCCCTGGGCCTCTGCAAGCCACGCCCCTGGAGGGGAGGGACGGCGTGAGGCTGACCGTGTTAGTGCCTGTTTCGCGTCCCAGTGATAGGGCAGAGTTAAGAGTAGCAATATCCTTGTCATACAGCCTCAATCCGGAACAGAAATTCTCGAGGCCCGGCACCACCAGAGACACCTCTTTCAAGGAAACTAGTGCACATGCGCATGACGGGGGTCCTGGGAAACGCTTAAATACCGTCTCGCAGGCACTTACAGTCTCTTTCCCTGCCGCCGCGGAGCTGCGCGGAGGCGGAGGCTTGGGGTGAGAGGCACGTCGCGAGGGTGGTCATTATGGCGCGTGATTCGGTGTCTTTTTTTCCTGCTGGGTTTGGTGATGGGTACCAGGCCCTAATTAATCCTGTCGTCAACCAGGGCCCTTTTTCTTGTGTTTTGTGTTACAGTGCGTTCAAGATTCGGCTCCACCCTTAACCCACCGCCATGGCCGAGGAAGGGTGAGCCCAGGGTTGGGAACGTGGTGCGGAAAGGCGCAGGTCGTGGGTCGGCAGTACCGGCTTTGGGTTAGCCGTGGCGCCTTAAGTTTCCCAGACTTATGACTGTTGAGTACGAGTTGTTAGTTGGTGTGTCTGTGTGAAATTTGCTAATCGTTCTGATTTATTGTGTTTCAGCATTGCTGCTGGAGGTGTAATGGACGTAAATACAGCTTTACAAGAGGTGCTGAAGACCGCCCTCATTCACGATGGCCTAGCGCGCGGAATTCGCGAAGCTGCCAAAGCCTTAGACAAGTACGTGTTTCGATCTCAATACTGTGGGTTGGAACCGGAACAAAACTGCGTCCAAGGGAAGAAAGCGTGAAGTTCGCGGTTTTAGTACAAAAGTTGCGAATGGCATCCGTTCTACAGGAAACCTAGGAAAAGGTATCAGATCTCAGATCTACACAGCCTACTTAAAGTTCATGGGTTTCTGTTTGGAATGGGGATGAACACTCGATTCATAAATTAAAACTACAGTTTTGAATGATGACTTAAATTGTCGGATACCCCTTCACTCCTATTATGAGTGAAACATAATAAGTCTGACAAATCTGTAGGTCGTGGGGCTCATTTCACATTATCTATGTGGCAAATACAAGCCCTCATTTAGTAGTTACCAAATTAAGCCATTGAGTTAACTTGATGGAAGTTCAGTTTGTTGCAGAAGCCTCTGGACTTCAAGATAAGTGAAGTTTGCAAATGACCTTAGATTCTGGGCTGGCTGGTTACTTTGTCAAAACTGCACGTGTTAACTATTTTAGGAGAATTTGAATGCATTTTAAGAGTACTTTAAGATAGTTACATTGAAACGAGTTCAATCCAGTGAAACACTTGTTGGAAGCACTTTCTAGTTTTTTTGTATGACTCCTGCACTGAGTCCTGGCAGTGGTGCAGGATACTCATGTTCTGGCCAGTAACAGGGAACAACTCTAATGTAGCAGTTTGTTTCATACAGTGATCTTTGTTAAGACTGGCTTTCAAAGGAGTCTTTTTTTTTTTAATTCTTAATTTATTTTTATTGGGGTGACATTGATTCATGAAACTTTATAGGTTTCAGGTACAAGTTTTTATAGGTACAATTCTATATATTGTACCCAGTATACAGAATTCTATATCTAGGTACACATCTGTATATTGAATTGTGTGCTCACCACCAAAGTCAGACTTCGCTCTGTCACCATTTATCCCTGCACCTCCTTTTCATCTGGTAGTGATCATACTGTCATGTCTGAGGTTTTTTGTTTTTTTCTAATCTCTGCCTTTTTCACCCAGCTGTGCACCCCCAGAAAACAGCTGACAGTCTGTTTTCTGTATCTATGCATCTGTTTCTATTTTGCTTGTTTTATTCTTTAGATTTTACGTATACATGAAATCATAGGATATTTATCTTTCTCTGGATGGCTTATTTCACTTAACATAATACTCTCCAGGTCTGTTCATTCTGTCTCAAAGGGTACGATTTCCTTTTTAATTGTGGAGTAATACGCCATTGTGTAAATGTACCACAGCTTTTTTATTCACTCACCTACTGATGGACACTTGGGCTGCTTCCAAATCTTAGTTATTGTAAATAATGCAGCAGTGAACATAGGGGTACATAAATACTTTTGAATTAGTGTTTTGGGGTTTCTTTGGACAAATTCCCAGAAGTGGTGTTGTAAGGTCGTAAGACAAGTCCATTTTTTAGTTTTTTGAGGTATTTCCGGATGCTTTCCCCAGTGGCAGCACAGATCTGCACTCCCACCAACAGTGCACTATCATTCCCTTTTCTCCACATTCTTGCCAGCACTTGATTTATTGATGGTATCCATTCTGACAGGTGTGGCATAATACCACTTTGTGGTTTCAATTTGCATCTTTGGGGATATTGAGCATCCTTTTATATGTCTGTTGGCCATCTGTAGGCTACAAAGTGATAAATTCATTCCTGTGCATGAACTTTGGGTTTTTTGAGTTCGTAATGAACACTTGGTGTTTCTATAGATGAATATGTGTGACTTGTAACAGGTTCATCAAACTGAAGCAGTTTTTGCCAGTGGGTCTGCTGCTTGTGTTCTGCCACTGTTGCCAGTGCAAAGCCAACTCCCTTGTAAAGTGCAGGTGTAGTGAACATCGACCTGCTTTTTAGCTTTTACTGTTGGGTTCTGTGTTTCAGGCGCCAGGCCCACCTTTGTGTGCTTGCATCCAACTGTGATGAGCCCATGTATGTCAAGTTGGTGGAGGCCCTTTGTGCTGAACACCAGATCAACCTAATTAAGGTATGTTATGCATCTAATCGATTTATCTGAACTGTTGAGAGAGAAGTTCAGCTCAGTGAAAATCGGGCCAGTGTGTCAGGAGTACCTGTGTCGAGTGATCTGTGTCATGCTTGAGCAAAAGTGTCACGTTTTCTTTCTTTGTGGAGGTATGAAAACATCACATAAACTTGATGTTGGCCATGCCGTAGGTGGTTACAGAAGCAACTATTCCTGTAGTAGTAAATGCTAATTTTGGTGTTGATACGGAACACAATGAAACACCTGCAGGTGGTTATTTTGGTGCTGTGCATGATGACAACTGGCTCCCTCTACTGAACTGCTGTGAGGAGACTGCCATGTCACCCTATCTGACTGCAGTGCCTTTTAGGGTTTGATTTATTGTCGGTGCAGCAGCATAATGTCTGCTAATAAAATGATGTTTTAAATTTCCCCCAATAGGTTGACGACAATAAGAAACTAGGAGAATGGGTAGGCCTCTGTAAGATTGACAGAGAGGGAAAGCCCCGGAAAGTGGTCGGTTGCAGTTGTGTGGTGGTTAAGGTGAGTCTGTATTTATCTCTGGGATGACGGTTGTGCTGGGTAATGGAGTATTTAATTTTCATGTTAAGTCAAGAGCTTCGTTAAAGGAAAAATGGGGTTTTTGACATATTTTAAAAGTTTTCTGCTTTTTATGAAAGGAGAATAAGCCATAATTGAAGCCAGTCAATAAGTCTGCTTACCTGAATGTGTTTCTGCAGAAATTCAGAGGGCTGGCAATAGTAAAGCCATGTTATGAGCCTTAAAGACATTAAAGTCATTAAGGTCCCTGAAAATGGCTACATGAAATTTTAATAATGAGTCTGGTTTCATAAGATGAGCTAATTTTAAAGCTTCACTATAACTAGTGCTGCTGACTTGGTGGAATTTCTAAATGTTTGATTTTTAAAAAGCACATGACTTTTTTTTTTTTTTTTTTTTAAGGACTATGGCAAAGAGTCTCAGGCAAAGGATGTCATCGAAGAGTACTTCAAGTGCAAGAAATGAACAAATAAACTTGGCTATTATTTCTCATCTCTGGTGTTTGTGTGTTTGTGGGGGGGGGTGAGAAGAATAAAGTCCGTGTTGATCAAGGGCAAAAGATAATTGAAATCATGGCCAAATAATTGGAGGTGTGCTGTTCATTCCCTCTTGCGTTTCTAAGTGAAAGCCTACTGACCAGTAGCCAGCCTCTGTTGGCAGTGAAAGGAATAATTCAAAGTAATGGGCGAGTGAGTGTCTCTTGGGGTGGACATTTATCATGACTGATTTGGCCATTGTGGAACCTGGAGAAGTGATCAGAAGCAGGATTGGGTTCTGGCTGTGGGACACTAAGTACGGTGTCCAGGGGTGCTTACGGGTAGGCCTGTTGGGAAAGGTCAGGATGTCCATTGTTTTTATTGACCTGAATGTTAGATACAAAAGCTGAACATGCTTCAATTCAGTGTACTCTAGTCCCTAAGAATCTTGGCACGGAGTGGTGACCTGTGTATTTCAAGATAAATCTGGTGTATTGGTGTGAGCGTAAAGCATCAAACCAAGTAAGATGAATGAAAGTCCGAGAATTGGAAGTTCTCTACCTTAGTTGTCCTGACTTGCTAGACAGGGTACAACTGAAGCTGCACTTGAGCCACATTTGGTTTTCAATGCTTAAAATCTGGAGTTACCCCCACCCCCTTGGAAATGTACAGGTTTGAGCCCTTTTCCAAAATCTGCCTGTAAACACAGCAACCTCTTAATATCACCAAAAGCTGGTTCTCAATTGTACCTGCTGGCAGAATGAGTGGCCTCGAATGTGAGTTCAGGAGCTGATGTTTATAAAGCATGATGGATCCCTTGGTTGTAATTTGGGCTTATCTGCCATTAAATGTCACCCTGAGCTATTTGTCTTTACTAAGGAAAAAGATAAATTCTAGTTTCTCTACATCTATTCACTCTTGAGTCTTACCTGCTATCGTGTGAGCTGTTGCAATAGGAAAAGAACCATATATACTGTAAAACAGTTCATCTTTTATGGGAAATCCTGTAATTCAGGATCATAGGAGAGCTATTTTTATTGGTACTCTGAGCGTGTCCATTTTTTTTACTCGCTTTTTGAGATGAGCGCTAAGGACTATGGTGAGTCCTCTTTCAAATTGCATCACCACTGGCATGCGTAAAAGGGATTTTTCATCCTTGGTTTTGCAACCTTGGTAAGTGCTCTGTTCATTGTATGCAGAGTAGTCCACTCATTCAGTCTCTTCTGGCTTTTGTCCTGCTAAAATAGGGTCAAATGCAATAGCCTTTTAAATCAGCATTTCAAGTCAGTCCTCTCTATCCCTTTACCTCAGAATAGTTCAGAGTTCACATTGTTGTCCTGTTTCTACAGCCGTGGGACATTGTTTTACTAAGACGTCCACCCTCGATTCCTGTGATGTATGGGGTCCTTTGTTTCAGTTTTCATCAGCAGTAGACAGCAACATGTCCGGCTACGTGTGAACATCCATCTTTTATTGGGCGAAAGTGTTGAATGAAAAAAACCAGTTGCTGTGTGCACTTGAGTGGGTATCTCGCATATTCTCCAAATGAGAGAAAACTGAGCCAAACACTTAATAATGGTTTTTTAACTTCTGTGGACAATGAGACTTGTGCTCCAACCCAAATATCCCCCTTTGTTTTATTTTTGCCTGTTCCTGATTTTTTTTAAAAGATTTTAATTGTATATGTACTTTTGGTAAGCCATTTTAAATGCTTTTTAAAAATGAGCAAGGGTATCCATAGAAAATTTACAGAAAGGCTGTAGTGGTGGTGTCTTGAGTTCTCAATGTTGCTCAGTTGGAGCATCGTCCCAATGTGCCAAGGTTGTGGGTTTGATCCCTGGTCAAGGCATGCACAGGAAATCAACCAGTGAGTGCACAAATGGATGAAACAAAAATCAGTGTTTCTCTCCTCTAAGTACACATTTTTTAAAAGTTCGTCTTGAACTGGATTGTTGAGGCAATTGAACCATTGTGTTCAGAGGTTATAAATAGAGTGTAGAAACATCTATTAGTCTTACTGAAGACTAATCTACCCTTTAAAATGGAACTTGATTCTCACCTTTCTCTTGTTTTTAAATGAATGTACATAGAGTTGGGCTCAAGGAATATATTGAGCAGAAACAAACTTGTAATGCCCCTTGAGACTTGGCAGGGGAGGATACTTACCCAAGGAGGGAAATTAAGATCATAGCCTTCACTACACACAGGCTGAGGATGGGGCAGGCTGATGGCTGAGAGGGGTAGGGCATTGTCTTCCCAGCCAAGATCCTCAGCTCAGACAAAAGCAAGAAGACCAGAACTTTCCAGTAATAAGTTCTTGCGGCTGAGTAAGGAGGTGCTCGAGAGTCTAGTAGGCTCTGCTGTTCTTCCATGGAGACCAAGCACTGGTGGCAGGTCACTGAGGTCAAAATCGAAGAGCAGTCTTACAGAGGGTGATCAGCTGTATAGGACTTGGGGTATGTAAATCTAGGCATGTCTCAGACACTGGGTTTGGGATATGCCTGGACATCGGGTTTGCAGTTCCAGACCAGTGCAATAAAGCAAATCGTGAATATTTTGGTTTCTCAGTGCATATAAAAGTTGTGTTGACACTATGTTGTAGCCTATTATATGTGCAGTAAGTGCCATTGTCTAAAAGAAAACAATGTACATAATTAAAAATACTTTAGCCCTGACTGGAGTGGCTCAGTTTGTTAGGTGTCCAGCAAGGCAAAAGGTCACCAGTTCAATTACCAGTCAGGGCACAAGCCTGGGTTGTGGGTTTGGTCCCCAGTTGGGACACATACGAGAAGCAACCGATCTATGTTTCTCTCTCTTTTTCTCCCATTCCCTCTCTCTAAAGAGAAATAAATCTTAAAGAAATTACTCTCTTGTTTTGGAGGGCTATGTGAAAAAGGGGAAGTGATTACGAAGTACAAACTGGTAGTCACAAAACAGTCGTGGAGATATAAAGTACAGCGTAGGGAACATAGAGAATAATATTGTAATAACTGTGGTGCCAGGTGAGAACTTGATGTATCGGGGGCCCACTTTGTGAAATGTGAGATTGTCTAACCATTATGCTGTACACCTGAAATTCCACAAAACAATATTGAATGTAAACTGTAATAGAAAAACTATTGCTAAAAATTCTAACCATCGCCTGAGCCTGTTGGAAAAATGGTGCCTGTAGACTTGCCTGTCCTGACACCTCAGAAAGACTGGCTTACAGTCTCCCCCCCCCCCCCACAGACATAAGTCATGAGTAATTTTTAAAAAACGGTTACACTTCAAATGGCATATACACACCTAAATGGAAACTTCTTTGTTGAAAGTGAGATGTTTCAGTCAGCTTTTAATCAAAATCCTTAGACTCTAATCACAGTGTGACTGGTTGAAGTTGCATTACAGTCTGGCTTTTGCTTGGAAAGGCTTGGAAACCAGGGCGAAGGATGATCCTAAGGATGCTTTACTTACACCGAAGGTGCAATTTTCTGAACTCTGACCTCGTTGCATGAAAAGTCCTTCAGAGCATTTCTCTAGTTTTGCTTTACATTCACTGACCATCTTCATTGCCTGGTTTGCTCTCCCGTTTAGGTTTCTACAGTAAATTGACTTTGGAAAAGAAATGTGCCAGAGAAGTGCTTTTATAGGTAGAAACTCAGTTTCTTTCAAGTTTCTCTGTTTTTTTATGGACCAAGAAAGGGCCCGCTGATCATTCTGTGGTCCTGCCAACCAGGAGGTTCTGTTACCCTTGCAGTTTTTTGATACAAGGAGAGAAAAACTGTAAAACATCAACTGAGAATGCCTTTGGCTAAGAGAAACTATTTATTACCAATTACAGATGAAAGAGTGGTTATAGCTGTAAGTATATTTATCACAGAGCTGTTAGTAAAACTTTTGTTGGTTGAAGGTGAATGATGATGTAAAATGTGGTAGACTTATGTGCCATAAAAATGGACAGACAGTATAGAAGGGTATTTGTTAATATAATGTTTGTAAAGCAACATTTATAACATGCACAATAGGACCACATTTTATTTAAAAAATAAAGGAATATAAGGGTGCATGCTAGCAGAGAATAGAATGGAAGGATACACATCAGGTTTTAATGGTTGTTTCTGGAAAGTGGGTATTTTGGTTTTTCTTTTGCTTATGTTTCTCCTTTAATCAATATGTGTTGCTTTTGCCATAAGAACACATTTTAAAATACAATGATGCTATAAGATATCATTGGAGTTAATTTTAATTACCATTAATATAAAACTTAAAAAAAATGTTTTGTGAAAAGTGAATTTACTTGTGTTGTAAAATTTAAATTGTAAAAACCAGAGCAGTTTAGAAA